CTGATCACCTTAGCCTCTGAAGACTTGATCTACTACAGCCTACGACCTACGACCTACGACCACGACCCCAGTGTACTGTTTAAACGTCAATCCCCAACTTCTGTTAGCAGACCCTACTGTCGGATAGCTGACCGTAACAATATGCTCTGAAATCAAAGAACTTTTGTGTATATCGTGAAAACCTCCCATTTTTGTCTATACCCCTCAAAATCGAAAACTTTTGTTTGTCCCAGCCCAGCCCGCTTGTGCATTCATGTTTTGAAGTTGTACTTTTTTCCAGAATTTAAAGATTTCCAGCGTGGTTGAAAATGACGTCCCTCTGGCCGCTGCCTGAGCAGCATGCCTGCAGGTATTTGATGTTTTCTTCGGTTCCTCGGACGCAGCACTGCAGAGAAAGGTGTTAGTTACACGGCTTTCTGGGACATTTCGACAAGGGCATACGTACGAATACTCCGGGACCGTCGTTGTACGTTGAGCCGTGGGGAGGTTGGCAGCAGCTCTGTGTAAGTCCGTCGTGGGCGAGACCAGGAGCGCCGGCATCCATGCAGACACCAGCGTAGTTCTCTCCAACGCAGTCTGCGATTGAGGCTGAGGAGCCGGCGATGCACGCGCTGTGACTTATAAGTCTGGGATTCGGACATCGTCTAGATTTTGTTTGCGACTTACGCAATGGTGAACAAAACTGTTGCGGAAACCATGATGAAGTTATGGTGACGATAAAGTCTGGATTAACAGATTTGATATTACAAAGAGTTAAAGCTCGAGTCTGCTGGATGTTTCAGTACCTTCAATTGTCTCCATCATCGTAGTCTTATATCTCAACATGCCACCCGAGCTATTTCGGGACCGCCGAGATTCACAACGACTCCCTGACTCAACCTCTCACTGTTATCTCGCAGACTCCCCCACGCGCCACATGTGGCGCGCGCTCACCCCGAGCCACGGTCTGGAGCCGTCTAAATGACTCTGCAGGGCCATCCCAGATTGCCATTAATTTGGCAAGTCGTCTCTCGCTTGCTCGTCAAACAATCCTGACTGTGATCGACAGGAGGTCCTTGCGGTGTGCTGCCAAAAATTGACGCGGAAAAATTTGAAGAAACTTCGCGGAGCCCGAGACGATCGCTTCGATGGCGTTGACGGCACGCGACATTTTCTTTTGGCCCCCAGCGCCCGTGGGAACCATAGATATCCATGTTTACGAGGTCCAGAAACGGCTTTGGAAAATTGGAGGAGAGAGATGTGGTAGAAGAATTTGCGAAATTTCTTCCACTGGTGAAACTTTCCCAGTGTGCAAGTTGCAGCAACGATAATGTCTTATCAGCTGTTCATGACACGACGTAGTTCCGGGAAAGGACTTTTCTCGATCTCCTTCGATTGTGAACCGGACAACCGGCAACTTGGGACCGATCATCCAGCTAGCTCACGCTTACAATATGGTGATGCGACCTGTTCGGCTTTTGGGTATCTAAGGTGTAATGAGTTGAGTGGAGTGTCCGCTGGTTCAAGAGCGTGTACGTGCTATCTGGAAGGACATGTGGATGTTGCTACTGCCCTTATTCTTGGTATCGTTCTCATCGTCCGCACCCCCCTTCCGCCCAACTGTGATATCCATGGATGCTTCTCGTTGTTCCCCTCATCCTTCTCGGCGCACCTGTCACAGCTGCCACGTCTATATTCGGCATGCCGCGAATGGCTAGAGACTTTGCGCAAACATGCAAGCCTTATTTGACACTTCTGGTTTCTCTAAGCGATCAACTTCCAACTAGGTATCGCACACCTTTTCCCAAAATGCTCCTCGTTCGCATGGGCGTCATTCTCATCTGAGTCAAATTTCTTCGGAAAAGGTGGCGCCGGGCCCGGCTTTGAACGTCGTCTCAAATTGTCCGCAGAAAGGTAATACAAACATCCGTATGTGTTTCCCAACGATTCCCTAGCGTCGTCCATGGCGCTTATGGAGATTTGCCAATCCGCGAACTGAGAATGCATGTGATAATTGAACAATTCACCCACTGGGTGGCGCCATTCCTCCCAGTCCTCGCCGTGTTGGTCAGGTCTGTTGATGAGCTCTTTGGGGAAATGCACAGAACTGCACCCCCTGCACATCTCTTTACAGGGCCGAAGGTATGTTCTGCTTCTTGACCAGTGATCATTGTCCCAACCGTTGACTTCTCTCATGGAGTAGAGCTCTACCCCGCGCGCCTCTGCGCGCCGGTTGACTTGCTTTCGATAGTGCTCATCTGGACACTGGTAAGCAACTTCCAAGAAGTCCTGAGTAGGTTCCAAGTCGGCTATCAGCTCATCAAATAGATGTTGATACTGGCCAACGATACATGCCAGGGCTATTTGGTGTTTCATGTCAGGCCGTCGCCATGCAAACTCCCGTAGCGTGTCTTCATGGGGACAGTGGGGCCACCAGAAAAAATCCGGAAGGGTATCGCCGTGCGTTAACCTGTCTACTCTGGACAAATCATCATTCATTATGAACCGGGCGTTTATGGCTTGTCGAATTGGCATGCTTTCCGACTTGGCAGGAAAAAGATCGTCCAGGCAGCCATCCAACCATGTCGCAAAGGGGGTGTGATGATATGCTCCGTGAATGACGGCCGAGATCTCGTTTTCGATAGTTTTCGGGCGCCTTAGACATGAATAGCGATCAATATTTCCATCCCAAGCAGCCATCAGAATGAGGATATCCTTGTTGACCGGCGGTAAATCAGGGGGTAATGGCTTAGAAGTCAGGTCTGAATACTTGCTCGACAGAATCGTATGCTAAGGGCCACGCCAATACCGAGGGCGTACGTGGCGATCCTCTTGTATATCGAATTAATAGTTGGAAGCTTCAAGGAAATCAAATTCGTCTATATCATAATAAAGAGGGCGCTTCTTTTCGAGAGATAACCTAACCAAAATATCCCCATTAAGACACACGCCAGCTCTCAGTACCTCTACATCAATAGTCCTAGCGTAGTTATTCATAATAGCGTACCTCACTGGCTTGCTTACGATAGCATCTCGGATGTAGACACTGTTGTTTATCTTCAGCCTCTTCCGCGATGGAGACGTCTGGAAGCAGTTGAAGCTCGTCGTACAGCTTGTTATAGTCTGCAACTGCGCAAGCTCTTCCGACCTGATAACGCATCCTTGGATACCGCCTAGATAGTTCGCGATACGTCTCTTCTATGGCTATATCAGGATACCATATGCAGTAAGGTGTCACTGTATCTGTTGGCATCTCTGGTATGATGTTGCTCATGATGAGGCGGGCATTGCGGGCCCTCGCGTACAGCTCGTTCCCAGGGCTTGAACATAGTTCTGTCACTTCTGCCGAGAAGGCAAATTAGCGGGTGATGCCTAATGCCTCGAACCAGAAAATGTAGATGCGGTGAGATGTAGCTTGGGATGGATTTGCCGTTGTAGGCATCTACGTCTTCGAAACATGCTTTCGGAGGGTTCAATGATTTGAATTTGTTGCTTTTTGGAGGTTCCGACAATAGTTCGAAGCTGCGGTTTGTTAGAAGTCCCAGCCATTCGGGACTTTGGCCTTTCGATGGTGTTGATAGCTGCAGGAAAGTAGAAAATCGCCGGCTGTTGGCCCCTTCAACAAAGACGAATGGCATCTGACTTGGAACGTACAATGATGAGCGAAACAGGATAGATTTGTTCTTTGACACAACACTGCATCGTCGGAACCTCGAAGCAGGGGGGTATAAACTTCTCGGGAACATGAGGGGCGAGCGGCTGAACGTGCGGAGGAACATGGTGTTGCGAGAGCGTCCTTACCAATGTCGAGGCATTGACTGGCGAAGAAGGCTTGGCCCGAACCCAGTCTCAAAATCAAGGTTTGCGTAAAATTTGGCAATCCGGAGACTTTTGCACCTTGGAAGCTGAGAGTATGTATGGAGGCTTTGGGCGGGAACACGTGGGAATGGTGCCCTACCTAGCAAGGTCTCTGAACTTTCTGAAGCTTCGTGCGTCGCACATACTATGACAGCTGTGACGATAATAGCAAGGACGGCAATAACAATAACGACAACGAAGACCAGGACGAAGACGGCAATGGGACCAGCGACAATTATGATATCGGTGGCAATAGCAAGGACAATGATTCAAACGGAGACGTTTGAAAACAATTCATGACGGACAGAAAGACATCTAGTACTCAATGGTATAAAATAGTCCGATCCTACTTCACGCATGTGCGTCTACGGATTAATATACTTCTTCAGACCACGCAGACGCTCTTTTGCATCTTCCAACACCGAATCCTCCTTACAGATTGCGAATCTCAAATAATTCTCCGCCAAAGATGCATTATGCGGAAGATAAAACTCAGTAGGAGGTATAGCTGCGATTCCCAGCTCCATGATAAGAAACCAACTCAACTTGAAGTCTCGAGGGCGGGAAGCGACATGTGCCGGAAATTCATATGAGTCGGGGATCTTGACCTTTGAAAAGTTGACCAAGACGAAATAGCCGCCCTTCGGATCGGAGTATGGCAATCCAAGCTCGTCGCAAACCTCGATGAACCGCTTGATCTTACCTTGCATGCTGCTGCGCGACTCCTGCCAAAATCCATTCCCCCCCGCCAGCGCATAGCCGGTAGCACAAGCCTCCTGCAACGGGCTTGGGCTCGAGTAACACACTCTAGTGTGTGCGGCGCTCACGTGTTTGATGAGGTGCTGGGGGCCGATGAGGAAACCGATCCTCCAGCCTGTCGCGTAGAAGCTTTTCCCAGCCGAACCGACAGTGAGCGTCAAGTCGCGAACTTGCTGCGAAAGAGTGGCGACGCGTGTAACAGGGACGTAGTGAAGACTATCGTACACCTCGTCGGACAGTATGATGATGTTATTCTCAACGCAAAGCTGGCTGATTTCCTCGAGTTCGCTGCGAGAGAACACTTTCCCCACCGGATTGTGAGGAGTGTTGATGACGATCATTCGAGTTCGTGGACTGATTGTGTCTCGCAATTTCTCCATGTCCACAATCCAGTCGGCTGACGAAGACGTGGTGTGATTTCCACTCTTGGGCGGGTTGAGAGGCATGTATCGCACCTTTCCACCCGCCATTTCGATGTTGCTGATGTATTGGTCAAAGAACGGTTCAAATACGATGACCTCGTCGCCATCGTCTACGAAGGCGGGAAAGGCACATAACATGCCTAGCGAGTTTGATAAGAAATTAGCGCCGTGTCTTAGTACTTGTATTTCAATACCTGTCCGTTGCCGACACGGTTGGATTCATACCTTCATTGGCTCCCGTCGTGATGGTCACTTCCGTGTCTGGGTCAATCGTAGTCTGTAAAGCCTCAGAGTACGACTCCGCTATGGCGCGCTTAAGTGACGGTCTTCCTGTTGTTGGCGAATACTGATTCGAGTCTACTTTCGTAACTGCATCTTTTGCCGCGTCCATGATGAACTCCGGAGGGTTGTAACCGCTGATACTCGTATTAGATTCTACTCATGGTGTCATAGAGAGGGGCTTGGCACACAAGAAACCCTGGCCCATATTGACGACCGGCTTGACCTGCAGTGCTTGTCAGAATTATTCCCCAGACGAGCTGTTACGACTACAAACCATCGACTTAGCGGCAGCATCATTGATGATGGTCCTTTTCCAAAAGTCAGCTTAGTGTTTGTCCGAAGAGAAGCGAGATCTAACCAACCAGACATCCTGCCGTTGTCCAGCGATTCGCATCGCGGGCTTGGGGAACTCTGCTTTGCAGGATTCTGTAGTCTTCATATTGAATTGAGTTGATTCTCGGGTTTGACTTGTCACGTTTCATGCCGCAGTGGAAATCTTAGAAGTTGGCACGAGAGTCTAGGGAAAATTTATATCCACGCGGCAGAAGTTCATTATCATTTAAACGACGGGATAAATGGATCGTCATTTCGGAGCCGGGGGATGCTTACAAACACCCGATTCGACCGCGTTCGCGGCCCGGATCCGTATTCCTATCTTGATCCGCTGCACTACGACGATGTCCCAATGACCTTCGAAAGAATAGTATCGTAGAAGGTTACATCCCGTCGGATGCTAGAAATGGTAAAGTAAGCCCGATTAACTTTGCTATCAACAAAGATGTACCAAGCCAAAAAGGCGGAGTGCGTGATCATTATCTCGAACTTTATCCCCTATACTCTTGTTGCTGTCCGTTCTGTTGTCCTTATTACCGTCTCTATCGTCTCTATCGTCTCTCTCTTTTCTGTCGTTTCTGTCGTACGTAGTAATAGGCCTGCGTGCCCGCATAGCAAGGCCTGCACAAATTGACCTCATGCAGCGACTCAAATCTTACAAAAGCGACCGCATGTAGCACTATCTAAATCCACAATTAGACTTGTGTGGATTTGAGCTTAGCGCTTTTGAATAATTGTGGAAAGCATCTCGTTACAGCCCTCGTGAGACCCGATCCGCTAAAATAGAACGAGACCTGGATATTTCCTCTCCTTAAGCTCCTCCCAATTCACGCATTCATGTTGATTAGAGAGTCTCCAAACTTCATCCAACAGACGATGAGCTACAAAGATGTTTCCGAATCCAATTGTGGTTTCCATGGCATTAAGCCTGTACTCAACTGTCAAGCGGCTTGCTTTCGTCATACTGCAGACTCCGGCCATGAAAAGCGGGAAAAGCATACGTGCCTCCATTTCGGAACCTGGACGTACGAGCGAAAGAGCTGAAAGTATGTTGTCTGACCCTTTCCTCATCTGTGCATCCCCGTTATGCATCCGCTTCGTTACCTGTAGAAGACGCATGATGATGGCCCATTGTAGAGCAAAACCAACAGCTCTGGCCTCGGTCAATTGTCGAGAATCTTCCACGGGCGGCGGCTGCCAACTTTGAAGTCTTAATTCAATTTCTCTAGCCTCTAATTGAAAGTCGGTGGGATTTCCATGAACCTGACGAGAAGCAAGTTTATTGATTTGTGTAAGTGTTTCGTATAAGTCGACCGAAATGCCAAAGAGAGGATGGATTATATGCTCATTCGTTGCTTCTGGGTGAGTGCCAGATTTCGTAAGACAACGACCGAATATTTCAGGAGCGTTGTCGGAGGTGATTGATGCCATGCAGGCCAGATAGTTGTATATCTCGATGAGTGGATGCATTGGTGTCACGGGCTAGAGCCCGGCCGAGATCTCCGGCTTTGCCGGAGCAGCTACCGAGATCCGGCGGAGCCGGATCCACTATTCTGCTGTAGCACACCGCCTAGCCCCGGTCTGCATCACCGCTGCTAGGCGCCTATCCCTGTAAAGTCCTTTCCTCCTTCTTCAGCTTAGAATAGTCAATCGACGGCACTTCTACGTTGAACAAGCCTAGGGGCCAGCCCCTTACAATTGGCCCTGATAGGGTATTGGCCTCGAGCAGAAGAGATCTAGCTCCATGGAGATGAAAAAGCCATCTTCTTGAATCTCCGAGACATACCTAGATACTGTCAGTCCTGGTAGGATAACTTCAGATTTACAGCACTTACTTCCGCCAGGCAAAGCAGCAATGTCGCCGCGAGTGGCCACACGGAGCCTTCCCGGTGGTGGTCCAGCTCGGCCATCAGTGCTTGTAATGTCTGACTCCTGTGAACGAATAGGTCGTGTTGAAAATCTGGGTAGACTTGCGACAGGTGACTGGCAGATAAAGTTACTAGCGCGTGGCGCATCGCCGGTTGTTCGAGTGCCATGGGCACGATGACACGTAGAAATGGGTTGAAGCGATCGTCTACGACTGCCAGCACGCGAGCCACAGTCTGAAGGAAATGGTTCAGCAAGTGCCTCTCCACGATTGTCCAGCTCTTCAACGCTTGTGGCGTTACTCCGGTCAGGTTATTGAGAGCTGTGGATGGAAGGAATGTAGCCAAACCCAGCTCATCATCGCTGGCGCATGGCATGCCTAAGCCCACAAGGGCTGTGCTATTTGCAAGAGCCGCAGCCTTTCTCGTCTCGAGGCGATCATCCGATTCTATAAGTGAAAGCCAATTGGAGAACGAGGTCAACTGAGAAGACAAATTGCTGCCATCCGGAACATCGACGTCGGCCCATTCTTGGAACAGGTCTGGACTGCTGACAAGCACATCACTACTCGACAGCAGAGGTTTGGGTCAGAGTGGCTGTCGCGACTTTCACCAGCCTCGGATGTCGGCCAGTTGCAGTCAAAGCCCAATCGTTTGCAATCGGTGCAAGTAGGTGTCTTTTCGTCGCATTTCTTGCGCCTTTTCCGGCAATTCCAACAACCCGTCGCAGACTTGCGGTGCTTTGCCTTCTTCTTGCCAGCTTTGTCGACATGGGGCAGAGCCGTGAGCCGGCCCCCCGAGCTCGCGTCATAGGAGCATGCGAGCGATAACCGGCGGCAACGGGTGCAAGGGAGCTCTCGTGTGCAAAGGGCCTTGATGGACTTGCACGTCTGGCATGCAGTGGTCCTACGGCCCATTGCGGCAGCTGCATCAGCAATTGTGACTTTTTGTGCCAGACTTCAGCTGAGGCACTGCCTGTTGCGACCCAGTTGTCTGAAGGCTTTCGTCTAGCTGGGGTTCACTCTGGTTGATGGAGTTGACAAGCCTCCGCCAGGCAAACAGATGTCGGCTATCTCGTATCTGTCATCCGGGGTGATAGGGTCGGATCTCACCCTGGTTTTCCGCGCCCCAGAATACCCCGTCGTTTACGAATGCGAAGTTTAGGACTGGTCCGACCGATAGGAACCTTTTTGCTCCCTGCACCCGCGGGAACGACGCACCATACCCGCGGGATGTGGGCGGGGAAGGGTGTCCAATGCCATCCACTCATAATTGGAATACGCCGTCGTTTACATGGATGTGCGTAGTTGGTCATAACACGACTAACCCTGTTCTTCGACAGCCAGCCGATTGGGGTTCAGAGATCAGGCAGCACTTCAGGAGGCACACTTGAGGTGAGTTAGGGCAAATCTGAGCCCAAGACGCTCGTGAGCATCAAGACCCATAACGATGTGTATTATTTTGTTCCGGCTGGCGAACGAAATGGAACAAAACCAGTTCCGATTTGCAAGCTGCCGGCCCACTTGACTTTTTGAGCCGACAATAATGCACCACGAAAAGCAACCCGAGATGTCTGCTAACATCGACGACCCCGAGTCATGGCATTTCTGGGGCTTAGTTGACGATGAACTTCGTCAGGTAGGCAACGGAGGCTCGTAGTATTTGCTATTTCACTGACCTAAGGGCCAGATGATCCAGGATAATGTCCCGAGAAGATTGCCTCCTGTCGATGTCTCCAAACTCACATCCATTCGAGAAGCATGGGTGGAGGGAATGACACGAGACATGTTGACCCTTTTGGAGGCCGCCAAAAACGAAGTGTCATTCAGTGAGATTCTCATTCCGCGCCGAGACGGCACAACGGGACGTGCTCTATTCTTCAGACCAAAGGTGACCACTGCGCTTGAGGCACCTGCGGTTGTTCTGATCCATGGCGGGGGCTTCCTATTTGGATCTGCCGAGATGGAGGCAACGGCTTGCATTGAGGCGACAAAGGCTCATGGTTGCGTATCATTGAGCCTCGATTACCGGCTCTCACCCGAGGCTAAGTTTCCAGTGGCGTATGAAGATTGTTGGGACGCTTTACATTGGGTACGTTAACCTCGCTACCGTCGCCCGTGTCGATGTGTCCTTTGGCTGACCCAAATGATCCATGATGAAGTTAACCGAAAACGCTGAAGTCCTTGGGGCAGATTTGACCAAGGGATTTGTCCTGGGCGGCACCTCCTCCGGTGGCCAAATGGCTGCAGCATTATCTCACATGGCCCGAGATCAATCATTGTCACCTTCTCTGACCGGCGTGTATCTTAATGCAACGTCCATTGTGCAGCCAGATGCCGTCCCGACCAAGTATAAGTGTTGGTATCGAAGCAATGATGAGAACGACGGCAAGACCGGTTTGTCAAAGAAGACAACAGCTGTGTTCCGAGCAGCCGTTGCTCCAGACCTTGAATCGGATTTCTGGAACCCGCTGAATTGGAGCACCGGGCATGAGGCTCTTCCGCCGACATACTTCCAGGTTTGTGGAGCTGACATTCAAAGAGATGATGGGCTGGTCTACGAACGGGTTTTGAGGCACGAACATGGCCTCAAAACCAAATTGGACATGTACTCGGATCTTCCTCATGTATTCTGGTATCTGTACCCAAGTCATTCAATGTGTGAAAAGTTCCGGAACGATAGAATGCTTGGTCTTGGATGGCTTCTCAATCAGGACTCCTGCACTGTCTGATACTTGTTTCTTAGAATCCCATGGAATTTCAATGATTCTTTTTCTCTCTTGAGACAAATTGATACTATGAATAGTGGCTTCACTGCGGGTAGTGCGTCTTGGAAGAGAAATGTCACACATACGCCTCAACCCAAGAGATTGCAATACAATAAAATGCTCAAGGTCGCCCTCTTCAACCACACAACCACATTCGGATGGGTATGTGAATACTTACTTATACATATGTTTCCACCTTCAAAGGAGAATAATAGAATAGTTTAGAACAGTGAAGGACGTTTCGAGAATCCCAAATTCGATTCCGTCCGTCAATCTGAACATATCCTCCCAAACATCGACAACCATACCCGAACAGAGTTCTCTGTAATACATGCCCATAATGTAAGACCGCTTCGCCTTCCTCTGACTGTTTGTTTAAAGATTATCAGTGGCGGTTTTGCTGCCGTCTTTCTGCAATTTGACAGAGCTAGCCGCGTCTATGCTTGTCGTTTTTGCAACCCCCTCAAGAACCATGCCGCTCCGGCTCAAACCCTCAGTGCCATAACTGTCTGTCTCATGCAGTGCATCAAACTTGGCATTGATTTCTTCCAGGGTAAGTCCCTTTGTCTCGATCCAGAAATACGCCACAAAGGCGAATTGAACGGCATCCCATCCAGCGTTGATCATGTAAGTCTTCCAACCGATGGCAGCAAGAGCAAAGGGCCACACAAAAACACTGAATAGACTGTTCTCGGGTTAGTAAAACATCCATGCTGTCAACTTCGCGGTAGGAAGAACTCACCCGCCACATGTGATTGCGAACGTCCAGGCTGCCATTCCATTGCTCCGAATTGAATAATTGAGCACCTCGGGTGGATAGAGGACTGTAAGCGGGGTGATGCCAATCGCGTAGCTTCCTTGGAATAGGAAGACAGAAGCCACAGTTGCGTAAACACCTGAAGTATTCTCACCGCCCCCGTAGACTACAGGACGTATGATTAGACTCTTGCCGATATTTGAGGCAATACAACATCTTGAGACAACCCACCTTTCGTCAGAGCACCAACCAGAAAAAGGAATGCTGTCATGAAACCGACTGAGACCAGGCACATTGTCTTCCTGCCAGCGATGTTCATGAAGTACGTTCCGATACAAGCAATGATAAGACACCAAGCGCTTAGAACAATGTTCTGTCTCGAGTGTTAACCACACGATAAGCTGTGCTGGAGCGTTACGGTTAAGACTCACAATCTGAAGCTGTGTCTGTGAATTGCTGATCCCGGCCTTCGTGAGCATGTCTCCCAGGTAATACGAAACAATGTTGTTACCTTGGGCGGATGTCAGCTTTATCGCCTCGAGACCAACAGGCCGCCCTTGGGTGCTTGGGCGCTCTTACCACTCGACATCGCAAGGACTGCCATCGAAACCGCTAGCATCAAACGTCTCCTCGAGCTTGGAGTACGGAAAACCTCCGCATACGTCATCTTCTGGCCGGACGAGCGCTCCCACTCCAACATGTCGACAATCTCTCGGTGCTGTATCAGCGTAGCTGGATCATCTTGATCTCCATTGCTGTGAGTTGATGCAATTGACGCCAAGGCGTCTTGCAGTCTGCCCTTATGAGCTAGCCAGCGGGGAGATTCTGGGACAAAGAGAAGCACGACGAGGCAGAATAGGCTGAAGACAGCCTGCAACATGCAAGGCAGCCGCCAGGACCACTCGCCAGATATTTGGGAGGTCCGGTACGTGACACCAGCAGCTATGAGAGCGCCTGAATTTGTCAGACGGCCAACTACTGATCAGGTTAAAGGGGAAAATACTGACCAACGTAGTAGATAGTAAAGATAAAGCTCAAGCCAGAGGCTCGGTATTTTGTGGGCAGTGTCTCCGCGAGCCACCTGAACAACCCAAAGTCAGCTAACAATGCTCGATTTCGGGCAGACGCGAATGAACTCAAAAACATACGACGATGATGCGATGGAGGAAGTCCCTGACCCAGCCCCTAGAATCATTCGCCCGACGACGAACATAGCCACATTTTGGGCGACCGTCATGAAGACAACACCAATAATTTTCAGAACAATAGAGATCAAGACACCAGTACGCCGGCCGACCCGGTCTACGACTGGCCCCATGAAAGTCGCCACAATTGCCCAACCGAGGAACGAGGCAGCAGCATTGAGAGATTTTGTTGCAGTGGTAAGTTTGAGAGTCTCATTGTACGAGGGGAGTATGTTTATGCCGTTTCTGTGTTGTCAGTTGGTATTGAGAACTGATGAGCAAGTAGAGACACACATGAACGCAGTGTCGTATCCCGTTGTCTGTTTCAGCTGTTAGTCCCAAGAAATGACTGCAAGCAAGAATGGACCGGTATTCGCCCAGAATGAGCGTAGCTGACGTCAGCCTTACCGTTGCAAAAACACACGATGCAAGAATAGTCAGCGCAATCGTGACTTTGCTCGACTTGTAAAACTGGAGCGGACCAAGGGGCCCGTCAAAACCAGGTAGGCCCATTGTTGTGGATACTGTTTTCTATGGCAAACCGAGACAGAATGATAGAGTGAATGTGTATGCGATCAAGAACAATATAGGTCATTGCTTCTACTTATCCCAAGTTGCAATTATTGGCAAACCTTTGGCATCGTTGAGCTTGGTTTACTCGCGATGTCTCGGCGAGAATGACAACGGGTAATGCACCTGTGATTTCACGATAAGCCGACGACCTATCGATTTAAACGACGGGATATTTCTGATAATCCACTAAATTCACTTGGCATCTCCGACACCTTTCATTTCCCCGCAAGACCCACCCCGCAGCGTTTCCTGGGGTTGACCAAGATAAGCCAAGGCCGCGCGCGCATGACCTGTACTCCATGCACTTCGGTCTCTGGGCGTTATGCTGATTTGCTTCCGCGTTGACTTCGGGAGTGAAGACTGGCATTCGCAATACTATCGGAATTCATTCGTTCCCACGAACTTGATACGTCATTAGAGGTTTGTATTTTTAGCAGAAAGTGAGGAAAGACAATGACGAGTTCAGCGACGACGACGACAACGACGACGATAACAGCGACAATGATGATAATGCCAAAAATAATGATAGTAATAACGATAGACTTTTACAATTTGTATTGCATTCTGTTTACTGGACGACCGTGGAAAGAAAACATGATAATGGTTGTTGCTGTAGTCAAACGAACGTAACGAATGTCTCCTTGATTCAAGCTAGATCTTCCTAATCCCCCCAGCGACACCCCAATAGTGGATGGTATTGACTTCAACATGGCGGAACCGACTAATATGGTCTGGCACCCGCGAGCTTCAGTAGCTTGTCCGTGAGGTCCGGCTTCTCGAGTGGCTCGTCACGATCATGAGAATCCCTTGTTCCGTCCGGCAGAATAGCGTAGGTAGGACCAGCTGTGCTGTGTTCATAAGGCCAGTGCGTCGTGCTGCCAAAGTGCTCGAACTTGTTTTTCTTCAGCGCCAACTGCTCCGGACTCGCAAGTCTCGCCGGCTGATACGTCGCGTAGATGGCCGTTCTGATTGTGTTTCCTAAGGGTGTTGGATCTGAGCCGTAGTGAATGACTCGAGAATCCCACATGATCAGGTCGCCAACATCGGCGCACACCTTGTGCGGGCGCAGTCCGCGATTTTCAAACCAGGCCAACTCCTCTTTGGAGAAGAGGTAGACGTCTTTGTTGTTTGGCAGGAGGGCAACGTCGGGATGAGTGTCGAAGAACTCGTCATTAAGCTTGTGGGACCCTGGGTACACTACTAGACCTCCATCCTCGGGGCCATTGGGTAATAGATTGATGATTCCCTGAACACAATGAACCCCGCGCTTCATCGGGCTCTGATCAATGTGCTCCCATGCCTTTCTGGCCGGCAGATCAGGTCGGTTCGGGAGGGTGATGTTCAGGCAGTCGAAACTGACGAGCAACTCGTCTGTACCCCATAGGCGGCTAAAGGCATCAAGAACAACGGGTTCCATTCTGGCATCCCACATGAACCTCTCGTGGGCAACACAGTAGCCATGGTATACACGAATTTTGTTTGTCAATGGGAAGTTGCTTTCCGTCCAAGTCTGAGGATCGTCGAGTTTGAGCCCTTTGCCGAATGAGAGGAGCCAGTCGTGAGCCTTGTGCTGATAGTCGTTGGCTCGATCCTTTGGGATTGCCCCCTTGATGACACAAAACCCTTTCTCCCTTAGTTCGGCTCGAAAATCAGACGGCTCTAGAGAGCTGTAGGAGACAGTCAGTATGCCTCGGTTGAAGTGCTTCGGCCGCTGTAAGGGGGCAGAGCTGACACACCTTTTGAGGACAGGAATTGGGGGAGTGATGATTTGGTCTGAATAATCAATTACGCTCGGTGCCATCTCGAAATTCGCTGGGTGCTATTCAACTGTGCGACAGATTCAAGCTATCTGTCGAAAGAAAACGGGAGTTGACTTCCAGGTCGTGAAATTTGTATGAAAGTGCGATCGAAAGTCACAGGGGTTGGTATCATTAAGTGTCGGCTCAGATGCTTGGGATGCGCTTCAACGTTATTGGAAATTGTGATCGAAATGTAAAGTTCTTTCGCCGTCGATTAACCCGTCGTTTAGAATGCCATACATGTGGTTGATTTGACGATCCCGAGTTCCGATCCTATCATGTCATCACAGAGCTAGTGCCGTTGTGTTTTTCCCCGTCGCTAAGTATTTCCCGTCGTTCAAGGTATATCCGACATACCCCGGCTATCTGGTGATAGGCTGTGTTGTGGGGTTCTGTTAAAACCGGAAGCGTACTTGACGTACCTTACCGTAGATACCCCTCATTGCTCGTCTTCTACCATCATCTGTGTCACCAATTCCCCCTCACTGTCTTCCAGTCATCTTTGGACATGTTTCGCTACCCATTGAGACTAGGATCGCGGCCTGGCACCGCCTTGAAGGCGAAAACTACTGCTCAATCGGCCGGCCGGCTGCGCTATCCGCGTCACCTCCAGACCACCGCCACCTCCCCTGCAAGGAATGCGTTCTACTCGAACCCCTCATTTTACTATGGGCTAGCAATTGGTGCCACAGCTTTTGGCTGGGGTCTTCATCAGGCCTGGAGTCCATCTGCCGCACCAGCTGAGATTCAGTATGCGAACGGCGTAACTATGCTCCAGGTATGCAGCCAATTTTCTGATTGTCACTCGGGTGGCCAAGATACAAACCTCCTGTGGCTAAAAGTTACAAAGGCAGCAAAAGAGATTGAAGCCATTTTGGGTTCCGGGGCTGTCAGCTTTGACGAAGATGTTATCGAAGCGCATGGCCACTCAGATTGGTCCACTTCCAACTCGTCCGGTCGACCTGTTGCCATCGTGTATCCGAATAACACTAAAGATGTATCTGATATCGCCAAAGTTTGCTTCAAGCACAGCGTTCCTATGGGTACGTGCCCCATCAGTCCATATTGTCTTTCCTGACTGACCGTTTAGTACCATTCGGGGCCGGTTCGTCGGTCGAAGGGAACTTTTCATCGCCTTACAGCGGTATCTGCATAGACTTCACATTCATGGACGAAGTCGTCGCATTCCATCCAGAAGAGTCTGCGAGAATCTCCCACACACCTTGTCCAAATTGATTCCTGACACAATGCAGCATGGACGTTGTAGTTCAACCTGGTGTCAACTAAGTAGATCTCAATAAGCGCATCCAAAGCTCCGGTCTGTTCCTGCCAATGGATCCATCCCCAACAGCGACGATCGGTGGTATGGTCTCGACCAATTGCAGGTGTGTTGTTAATATCAAGACATACTTTTCCATCTAACGAAGTCGCAGCGGTACCAACGCATTCCGATACGGTACGATGAAAGACTGGGTCATTAACGTTACAGTTGTGCTACCTGACGGCCGTATCATTAAGACCAGACAGAGGCCGAGAAAGTCTTCTGCTGGCTATAACCTCACTTCTCTGTTTGTTGGAGCAGAGGGCACACTCGGCATGATCACCGAAATTACATGTAAACTAGCTGTATTACCGCAGGAGACAGGCGTCGCCGTCGTCTCATTCCCTTCAATCAGCGATGCTGCCACTGCCGCCTCTAAGCTGATACGTTCAGTGATACAGCTGGCTGCTTTGGAGCTCATGGATGACGTGCAGATGGGGGTGTTGAACAAACATGGCAGTGCGGCAGTACGACGTTGGCAATTTCCGGAAAACCCCACGCTTTTTCTGAAGTGAGTTGCTGTCATATGGACCGAAACCTCAAGGACTCTACTAATGGCAGCCCTGAACTAGATTCTCTGGCACCAAAGAGGGGGTTCATGGCGATATTGCTTCCGTTAAGTCCGTCATAGAACCATTCAGCCCGAGCAAGATATTGTTTGCCGCAAACAAGCAAGAAGAAATCGATCTATGGTCGGGAAGGAAGGAGGCGCTGTGGACCATGACGTCCATCAAGCCTCAAGGTTTCAATATTTGGTCAACTGATGTTGCAGTTCCTATATCTAAGCTTGCAGAACTGATTGGTACGTCTGACCATCTGGAAGGGGGACGCGATACTGAGCATGCCCTTCACAGATATTTCCAAGCAAGAATCCGACAAACTTGGAGTTTTTGCTAGTATCGTCGGGCACGTCGGAGACGGAAATTTCCACCAAGCCGTTATGTACGATGCAAAGAATGAGGAGCACGTCCAGGCTGTGGAAGACTGCGTGCACAAGATGATGGATCGAGCTGTGGAGCTCGGAGGTACAGTTTCGGTAAGCACTGTCCAATCATTTCTTGTTCATCAAGCCCGCGTTTGAGACCAAGCAGTAACATATGTGTAGGGAGAACATGGTATTGGAATTGGAAAGAAGGTTTGTCATTCTTCTCTACCCACACGTAAACAGTGTATTGATACTGTCGAAGGAATGCCTCCTGAATGAGCTGGGTGTCGACACGATTGATCTGATGAGAGCTCTGAAGAGCTCTGTAGATCCCAAGTGAGTCCACTCACTCACAAACTTCCACGTTTGGTTTGGCTTCAACGCCTGGCGTATTAAATCAAATCTGACTCTGACGGTGATTAGACGGATCATGAATCCTGGCAAAGTGTTTGATGTCCCAAAACCAGTTAAAACAGTCATAAGCAAGTAAGGTTTCGTCCTTAAAACAGATCTAGTCTTCATGTATCAAATATGAAATTGACACTGGTGCTTTCCACCAATTCCAAATTCTTCTTATCCTATCGGGAGATCGGGAAACCTTGATACATGATCAATATTGCTTGTTTCGTCGTATTCGCATTGGCGCCTGAGTTTGCTCCTGACCTGTAGAGTGAAAAGATCAGGGCGTGAGTATTGCCCCACCGTGTCGACAATGCTCATTGCGATGTAGATCTCGTCGAATTCGAGCTCTCCATAGAGGAGACCCTCAAACGTGGGGCTAGGTGCCTTCACCAGCGTGCGACCATCCGGAGCGATGATCTCGGAAAATCCACCACCTACGACCGCCGTGTGGGGCTTTTCCCCTTGACCGGCATGTTCACTCTCATCCGTAAGCCCGTTGGCTATAAGCCCTTTCTCCGTCTGCGTTGATGAAGCGAGAAGAACGAATGTTGCGCCTTCTACGGCGAGGGTGTGGGTAGCCATCATACACGATTCGACGGTATTGAAGAAGGGCATTTTGCCGACTGGAGGGAAGAGATTTGGCCATGAGGCAACATGAATCTGTTCTCCTTGAAAGTAGGTATTGTACTTTAGAAGAGGTTGCAGGTGCTCGAAGCATTGAAGGCCACCGATTCGGCCGATGGGCGTCTGAACTACATTCGTCGTGCAGTCACCCGACTTTGGGCACGACGAGGTCAGCACAAAGGCTTGCTGGGGCTGTAGTGACCACTTACTGCGTCACCAAATAGGATTCGTTCCTGAGCAGTAGGTTTGAACTTCCTTCTGTGGAGAAGCACGTCTCCATCTGGGCCTATGAAGGTCTGGGCCATGTACAGACTGCCTTTGTCGCGCTCCGATATGCCCACGACAACCATGATGCTGGCATTCCTGGCAGCCATGCGGATGCGCTCCACGTGCTCGGACCGGACATCGATGGAGTTGCGGTAATACTTGAGGTTGTAATTAATAGTCTCCTTGGCTGCCTTAGCATGGATGAAGTTGGGGTATCCGGGAATCCAGAGCTCTGGAAACGCTACAAGCTTCGCACCGTTCGCGCCCGCTTCGGTTACGAGTTCGCATGTCTTGACAGTTGCAGCTTCGACATCGAACCTGGCCAAGAAACGGCTGTTAGTGTTACAAGATACACAGAATTGCCGAAGATGCGATGATGATCTGGCCGGTCCATCACTTACCAACAAGGCTCGGCTTGCACGACTGCAACTTTGACAGGGTCGTTGGGGTCTCCATACACGTGGCTGTTCATATTTCAAGTAAAAAGAAGAGAATTTTTGATGTTTTCCACCTACAGTGTGTTCAATTTGACTAGGCGTTCGTGATTGCGGACTTGTGACAACGGTATTGACTTTAAGCCAGTTTTCAGTCGCTTGCAATGGCTGGAGTAATAATTAAAGCTATTGAAGTGCCCGGTCAATACAACCAAACCCACGATTGCGATCGGAGATATTGATACGGCGCACGTAGTTTACGTCCTGATTTCCTGTAAAATTCTGACACATTGTTTTGGTCTCTGGTGTCAATGATGATTTGCCGGTCTGATCGGTATATCGGTATCCGTATATCAACTTCCGGTTGGTATCTTGACTGGGACCCATAAGCCTACCCAACCTGACGGATCCTCCATCCATCTGGAAAGCGGGAATTCTGATATGTGAGATGCACTGAAGAAGCTTCCGATAAGCTACTTACCCCTTTCGTCTTATCAGATTCATGTCGGTATCACCCTAGCGTTATTTCCAAGTGCAGAAAGTTTGCCCGGTCCGCGAAATAAATCCCGCTTGCTATCACGCAGATAAGGGAGTGCACGCTCTCTTACAACACTGCTGTCTATGTTCGCTCCATGTATATCACTCTACTCTGGTATGGAAGCAACAAGCGACCCAGCATTATGTAAAAGGGCAAAGGCCACCCGCTGAATTGCGCCCATGCGACGCCACCAGTCCCGTCTCAATCGAAAATCACACAGGCCTTGGTACTAGTTGTCTCGAATGTTCAACTGCAATGAAGAGCAAAATTGTTTCATCTGGCACCCCTGCCGACTCTGGCGACTTCAGCCTGGGAGAGACAGACGCAATACCGAATGGCGTTCTGGCATGGACTCGATACATGCTAGGGCCATCCTCGACGTACTGTTTCGTTGGCTTGCCTCCTAAGGTCTCGAGAATTGGCGTAATTGCTTGCGGATGCTGCATCATGTCACTTTCAGGATACAGTACGTTACAAATTCATCATCTTTGCGAGTCTTGGCATCATTCATTGCTTGTTCTATGGAGGAGCAAGTCTCTACAGAGATCACATGCAACTGACACTAATAGATCTCGCACTTATGGGCAGCATTTCCGGTTTAGACTCGGACCTCCAAGTCGTCGGACTCACAGACGGGAGCAATCATACTCAGCTTTTCATCGGCCTGATCAACTGCGTCTACTGGATTGGTGTCATCCTCGGCGCCCTTCTCGTTGGTTCGTTCTCAGACCGCGTTGGCCGCCGACGTGCCATTGTCTTTACTGGCATCTTCGCGGTTGCCATCATTCCCACGTTTGCATCTCTGCAGAGCTTCCCATGGGCACCGGCGCTTCGTTTTCTCAATGGGTGCGCTACGGGATCCTTCGATTCGGTGGGACTGAACTGGTCAGCTGAAAGCGCTGATCATCGCCACCGAGGTCGTACAATGGGCATCTTGATGTGCTGCGCTGCTACGGGCGCGGCCATCGCTTACTTCATCCCGTATGGTTTGGCCAAGCACGCTACAGGCGAGATAGTCTGGAGGCTGCCGATGTCATTTCAGTTGGTTTACGTCATCGCTGTCCTATCTATGGTGTGTTTCCTTCCTGAGTCGCCACGCTGGCTTGTCAAAGTCGGCCTCATCGATGCAGCCCGGGATGGTCTCCGAAGTTTCAAGTCCATCGAAGATCCCATTGAGCTTGAGGAGACTGTGGAGTCCGAGCTTCTTTCGATTGCACGGGCGATAGAGACGGAACGTGTACACAATTCATCAGCAAGCTACTGGGCCATGTTGACGGCCCCGGACGATCTGAAAACTGCTCGACGCACATGGTCGGCAATTTTTATACAGTTCGCAACACAAGCAATGGTCGGTGCGGGTTTTGTATCTGGGTACGGCATCCAAATCTTCGAGACTGGCGGATGGTCGTCCGAGCTAGCAGCACTTCTTGCAGGAATGGGTATTATCACTCAAGCGGCCTTTGGTCTTCCTGGTGCCTTGCTTTCCGACACTATAGGTCGCCGTAAAGCCATGATCGGTGGTTCAGCCATCGGGGCCGTCGTCCTGGCTCTGATTGGTGTGTGCGGCTACTTCGTCAACAAGTACACATACACAAACCCAGCACTAGCCAAATCCTATGGCTCAGCAACAGTTGCTCTGGTGTTCCTCTGGGATGCCGTTTTTGGTGCAACATGGCGTATGTCCTTCCATCCTATCCGGGACGTCTTGTGAAACTTAAGCTGACAATTGAGATTTGCGAACAGTCTGGTGCCCTTTCGCGTATCCTTCCGAAATCTTTCCTGCTCAGTCTAGGGCTAAAGGCAGTTCCGTGGGTATAGTTGGTCTTGGAATTAGTTCTTTCTTTGCCAGCATGATCAGTCCTTACCTCTTTGCTGCTATTGGCTATCAGTCGCTTTTCATGATATGTGGTCTGAGTGTTATGGTTGCTCTCATCTGTTACTTTTGGATGCCTGAAACCGCAGGAAGGACTCTTGAAGAAATCGACGGGCTCTATGACTAGGACAATCACACAAAGGATCATCATATTTAAGCGGTACAGTTCGCCCTAGATTACTTTCGTCAATGTTCCATGCAGTATAGCTCATATACACATACATATATTAATATCATGTTATAATTGACATCACAAGCTATTCTCATTCAGTGGGTTTGGGTTAGTCGCCATTCCTAGAAATTTCGCGGTGTTCATACCCTCATTGCTCTATTTCTCTCGAAACTGTCAATGCTCCTCGTGTTTCTGGAAACCTGTAGCTTCCATCTTGCCAATCATTCCGATTGTATCAGCCGTCTCGGTCAACTTTCTTGTCCTCGTCGACCTCATTATCCTCGTTGTCTTGTTATCCCCGTCCTCCCCCGTCCTCCCCCGTCGTCCACGTCGTCTCCGTTGTCCTTATTCTCCCTAACCCATTATAGGATAAGAGCTTGCGTAAGCATATCGAATGAAATACCCTCATCTAACAATTTGTTTTTCTTACATCGAAGATCCAAGGCGCTCATGATGATCAAGCAGAATATATTTTCCTGTGATATGGTTACTGCATTTCATTGGTTGAAATTGGTCCGTCTTATCCGCCCCGCTCGTCATGAAAGGCATAGGTTACCATGCGCATGCTCCCGCTATGTACTCGTGGAATTCTATCTGACAACTTGTCCAAATCCAATTTTCGCCCTAAGTATCGATGGAGAAATCCAATTTTTTGAAGAATTGTACGCAGCCCATCATGCCTTCCAATCGATTGCCGCGAACGAGGCGCCAGATATCACGGGTCTCAATGGCATGCCATCAGTGCCGGACAGCAAGGATCAAATGCGATGGCGTCAAACCGCAGTGCGCCACATGTGCTCGACTTCACCGAGATTGCGAATACAGTCGAATCGATGGCCGCAAGTCACGACATACGGAAGCCGAATTCAGTGGTTTGAACAACAGAATCGCCTTTTTGGAATCCCAGCTCAGAAAAGCGCAAGCTAGTGTGTCACTCGGATTTGAGCTAATGAGTGATTCAACTTTGGATACACATCATGGAGTTTCTGTTCACTTTAATTCCGAAGAGCATCAAGAACTGAGGCTCGAGCGGCCTCTTGAGTCTCTGAAATTCCGTGTCTTAGGTCTGGGGTTTGACGAGAAACTGACAACACCAGCCCTTGGGGCTCTATGCTCTGTGAGTGGTGCATTGATACACGACGAAGTTGCCGGAAAGACGGCTTATGTTGGGCCAACTAGTAATTTCCATTTATCGTCCACATGCGCGACGAGGCGACCTTCGATAGCCGGAAAGATCACTCATTACGGCTTTACAGAATGGCTACCAACAGAACTTGAGTACCTTAGGAGTTACTGGGATCACGTTCACTCTCATTTTCCGCTGTTCTCTTCACCCGCCGAGCTTCAACAGACCGCAGCAACCAACCTTTTACTCAAAGTAAGTGTGCTAGGCGTTGGGGCTTTCTTCTGTCTGTCAGATAGCGGCACTGAGCGACAGAATCAAGTCAACCTCGAATTTTCGAGTCGTTTCACCGAACTGAGTGGAGGTGAGATCGAGCATGTTTGCATACCCAACATCAAGTCGTTTCTACTCCGGTCGTACTTGGCTATCTTGCAAGGAAAGCTTGAGTCGGCAGCTGTTTTTCTAGGTATGTTGTCATGTGAAATTCTGCATTCCCTCATGTCCAGGCTCATTGAAAACGCCTAGGGATTGCCTGCAATGCGGCAAAGCTTATGGGTCTTCATGTCCACCCAGCTTCATTGCCCGATGAGCCTTATATGCGACAAACTTCCGACAACATAGATAGACACACGACGTTTTGGGCTTGTTTCTTCTTAGACAGGTGAGTAAATACCGGAAATCAGCATCGTTCATGGGCTAAAATCACTGTGTGCTAGACGCCTGGCAATTCTTCAGGGGCGTGCTGTGTTGATGGCTGCTTGCGATGTTTCCGTCCAGTCTCCCGTCCATAATGTTGAGAGAACCCTCAAGGAAAGAAACGATGTTGGTGTCACTGCGCATGATATATATGCGTATCATCTTAGCTTGGCTGATATGCAAGATGTATGTCTCGGGGATATGTAAGTGCACGAGAGACCCAGTGTCATTATTCCCTGTTTCTTATCTACGATCAGATATTCTTTTGCGTGCCCTGCTTCGACGGAGGAAGCAATATCAGCGGGTAATCTTCGATATGTTTCATGGCTCACGGCTTTACCAGCCTCTCTTCGAGCCACAAATCTTCCAGAGTGCCCACCGAGTTTAGTTTCACTCCAGTCAGTCCGATTGTGAACAAGACAACGCGGTTTATAACTGACATATAATAAAGCTTATGCTACCACTCCGGCATGATCCTTCTACATCGTCCATCTTTGAAGCAGACTAGTGCTGAGCGTGAGCTTGCCAACAAACACTGTTTGGAGTCTGCCTCAACAATAACTGCACTTCTCAAGATATACCGCGAACGATACTCTAATAGTATTGCTGACTTCATGGTCATACATGCAGCCTTCACCGCTGCATTGGTTCACCTAGTCTTGCTAGATCACCCGGAAGTTTCCTCGTATCATAAGACAATCAGGGCACTGAGATCGACAATAAACTCTCTCACTTGGATGATTCCAAAATCGGAGTACGCGAAGGAGGTTTACACAGACCTTAAGCATTTCGCAATGTCTTGGTCAATCAAGCCAGCGAACTCGCCAATGTTTTGGGAAAGCAGTTTGTTTCTACTTGAAGGTAAACAGCAAGCTTAACAGACACCATCTGTTTCACAGAAATCTATAACACCGACTCCATAGAACATGCTCAAGTTTGAGTCCATCTAGGAAATAATTAACCTTGCCTTCAACTCGTTGCTGCTATCGCCCCCGGTCGCCAAGGTCCGCAGATTTATTTCCAGCGGGGCCGGCCTCTCGGACACATTTCGCGCCCTGCGTCGGGATCTGCCATCTTTGATCAGACAGCCGAGAATATCAACCAATGAACCGCACCAAGGAGCATGGCCGGCTTTTCGCCCAAGAACACAGCCAATGACAGTAACCACTTATCCGGGCCTTCCCCGACGCAGATCGAGTCCTATCTCTATTTCAAAAGATTTCTTTGCACCGTTCGATATTCGCTCATAAATAGCCTCAGAAAAATGATAGCACTCAGTCTTACAAGAACATTGAGCATACAGTCTCTTATCTGTGACGCTCTGTCTCTGGAAGTTATTTCGCAACTTTAAACACACAACTGCATCAACTTCACCATCTAAAGTGCAAGGCGCTTGTGAAGATCGCTGCTAGGTTACAGTAAAGTCTCCTTTCCTGGAACCACTCTGGTCTTGTTACCCAGTGTTTCGGTCTTCTAGAAAGAGAAAGCTCTTACTAATAAACTTCAAGGTATCAACAGATATGCTGCCTGCATTTGGCCTCATTTCTCAAGGTCGCAGAAAACCACTGGCAACGGGAAACCTAGAGTACGGTTGAGCTTGATTCGGTTGGCACTGCCTCTTAGCGACACGTACCCTAATTCGTAAACCATCGGCTCCGATATCGCGGTTTTCCTCCGAGCCGGCAGCCCCACTTCGGGTTGTCGCCGAGAAAACGTGCCTGGATGTCAACATCTGGGTCAAGTAGGCGAGGGGGATTCCGCCAAGATGGGAATAGAATTGAAGATTACTCCCCATTCTTTTGCTACATAATGCTGAGCGATCCCCTGAGATATCCACAGTTGTTTCTTTTGCGGACATCGATGACTTGTCACGCCTGCAGGGGTGACAGGTTTTGAAATAGCCTCGCAAAAACGCACACATTTCATTTCTGGGTTATCTTTACATTTCTAGTTGTTATCTTTACAATACATGTTACTAGGGAGGCTAACTTGGCGAAGTGTCTAGCTGAAACCCGGTAACGTCGAGTATCAGACGTGTTACAGTTGACTGGAAATTACTCTGACTCGTGCGGACTGGTCGCTAACGCTCGTGTGAGCGGTTAGGCTGCGGTGCAAGGTCCCTGTCAGAGGGAGTTCGACAGATAAGAAAGCTCTTCAAAAATGAGCTTCAAGATGAAATGCCCAGCAATGCATTTGTGCTTCCAGTCGTATTGTTGAATAACCGAGGCGAACTCGCTGTCGTCGTCACCAACGCCACATGCGGAACCAAGAAGAGCGGCTGTCTCCATCGGAGCCACCCAGATCAAGATGTCACAGGTCTAGAAGCTGGCCCCGTAATAAAGCAGAAGCGATGTGGGAGCCGAAACCATCAAATTTTGTCCGACCGGCTTTTCCGGTTTTATTCTCCATTCGATCAGTAAACGCCAACAAACGTGGCTCAAATGCAGGTCCAAGGTAGTCCCTCTCGGACATGACCCAGAGGACCGGTATGTGGGAGATGTGGCAGGAGGTCGAGCCAAGAAGTCTCTTCCTTGCTCAATGATGGCTGAGGTCCATCTGAACCCCACTACTACTCGGTTTCGGTCACCTTCCATGCTTATTCAAGCCCTGCGAATTTCTTGGGACGAACACGGAAAGGAATTTAACTTGCCGATCCCTGGCTAACGCGCATAAAATGGGCAACTTGAGACGAATCGGCGCACGGGTCAATCTTTATCTCGAGCATCGCCATATTCCGCGATGGAGCACTCCCACAGGTCCCGCGCAACATGCGGGCTGCGCGGCTCCCTATCGTAGGTCCATCGCAATTCTTTGCGTAGTCAGTGGGTTTCGGGGCATGGCAGTTTTTGTATTGATCTCCGAATCTGGACCACGAAAAAGAAATCCTGGAGTCTTGGCGGAGTTGATGTCGTAGTATAAGTGAGCCTGGTAGGGCCGCGCTGTTGCAATTGCTGGAACGTCAACCAGTCCATCGGGTCGTTCCCTCTTCACTTGTCGTCCGAACTCTTCTGCAGATCTGTTTGAGATCTGCACGTCCTTCGTTGATCAACATGAGGTCGTCCACTCTTTTCGGCTTCGTTTCAGCCCTTGGGCTCGCTAGCGCATCACCGTTCGCTCGCAACGGCACCTACTCTAACTCTACGTGCACTTCGCTTAACCAGAGAAAGGCATGGTGAGTGACATCAGACCCACCTTTACCAGCGTTGTATTGTTAGTAGGGCTGACCATGACACTCAATAGGCACGTTCTCACCAATGATGAGAAGTCCGACTACCTTCAGGCCGTCAAGTGCTTGATGGAGTCCCCCGCCAAGAGCGGTATCACTGGTGCTATCTCTCGATGGGACGAGCTGCAGTCTTGCCACGTCGAGCAATCGAACTTCATCCACGGAGTCGGGTATGTGGCACACAGTTCGACGTCCAATTAGTATACAACTAACGTGCGCAGTGCTTTCCTTCCCTGGCACCGCCTTTTCCTTCGCCTGCAAGAGATTCTTCTCCAGAACGAGTGTGGATACAAGGGCGCTCTTCCCTACTGGGACGAGCAACGTGATCTTGAGGTCCTCGGGTCCATTGAGAATGCCTCTGTTTGGGGATCCGACGAGTTCAGCTTCGGTACCAACGGCGTCAACACCACTGACGGCGTCAACTGCGTCATCGATGGTGCTTTTGCCAACACAACTCTCCGCATGGACCAGATCTGGGGTGTTGACTACTACGACGAGTACTGCCTTTCTCGTAGATGGAACCAGACGGCCTGGGAGTTCGCCAACCAGACCAACGTCGATACCTGCTTCGCCAAGGACAACTACAATGAGGCCAACTTCTGCTACGTTGACTCGCCTCACTCCTGTGGACACCTTGCTACTGGCGGAACCGTAAGTCTCTTTCCAAATCTTTTATATGAAAGCGACGTCACTAACTTTAGCTCTTTCAGATGGAGAACCAAAACGCCAGCCCTGGCGACCCTGTCTTCTTCTTGCACCACGCCAACCTTGATCGCCTCTGGCAGAAGTGGCAGGAGGCCAACCTCACTGCTCGTCTGACGGACATGAGCGGCCAGATTATCCCTCCTGAGTTCATCATGACACAGAACCGCTGGCTCTACCCGTCCAAGGCATACACCGACTACGATGGTGACCCGGGCAACGAAACCACCCTCAACCACGTTCTCTGGATGGGTGGCATTATCCCTAACAAGACTATTGCCGATGTGATGGACCTCAAGGGCGACCTCATCTGCGCCGAGTACATCGACGCCGATTACTAGGCCAAATAGCATAATACGGCGTGAGAAACTGCACTTCACTTGTACATAGAGTTTGACGGAGCACGCGCATTCGATGATACCACATAGATTTTAGACTATAGACCGAATCACATACCACTTCTACCAACGAGTCTTGCTATCTGAGCGGAGATTTGAGTATGTAAGCTACAAAGTAGTTATCTGTCGCTTCTGCTATTGTCGTTGCTTATATCGTCGTGGTCCATTCTGCCGCCGAAATTGGTTCTGCCATCGTCGTCGCTTCTCGTTGCCGCCTATGTTACCACCGCCGTTGTGTAAGACTTATTATGACACGATAGCACTCTATTAGGGAAAGGGATCCCGAAGGAAACGATCTTAATTGAGATAATAATGAAAATAGTCATAATGAAGGTGTGAAAACCAGAACAGATAATCAAGGTAAAAACAGCATCAAGATCTCCTTCGCATGCCAACCAACCAGTCATTCCACAAAACGTCCTAATTACCTCCATCTCCAATGCATCAATTTCCAACCGACTGTCTCGCACATTCTACTGCACTGATGACGACGCTCGATTGCCTTCTCAAGTTTAGCTGAGTAGTGCAGCAAGGCCCATAGCAACAGAAACGACCAAAATTGCACCAGGCATCAATCCGCTGGCAGCCCCAGTTGCAACCGGAACAGGCTGGCTCGCCGTAGCGGTCGCATTAGCTGAAGGGGTGGCGACAGCAGCAACAGTCTGGAGCAAAATTGGAGTCGTTGTGTAAGCCATGAGGTCCGTCGCAAAAGAAACACTAGAGAAAGGCAGGCTCGAGACTGCGGAGGCATTTGGGAACGCGACTCGCTCAGAAGCCGGCTTAAACGGCTGCAGAGACGCGCGATCAAAGTTTCCAGGGCTCAAGACACTAAGAATACGTCAGCATAACGTGCGAAGAACTGCTGTTGACTGGAGTAAACTAACCTGTCAATCACATGAGCCACGCCATTGTACAAAATGGTGTTGGGGAACGTGATTCTGGCGTTGTTCACCCAGGCAGATCCGTCCGGCAACACGGTGAAAGTGAGGTTTGCACCTTGAAGAGACGGGACTGTTACGTTTCCAAGAGACGGCGAAAAGATCACGTTGTTTGGGATGATGTGGTACTGAAGCACCTGCTGAAGTGTCTCTAGGCCCGCTGTTTCAAGTACAGAGCCGATTGACTTGAAAGCTTCATCAGTTGGGACGAAGATTGTGTAGTCGGAAATGTTGAGGCCTTGAACATTGGCTCCAGTCTCGCCGAAAGCAAAGTTGAGGTGAGCTGCCTCAAGAGCAGCGTTCATGGCGCGGTAGCCTGCTCGGAACGTGAAGAGCTGGAATGGGGCTCCGAATGATAGCACGGTATCGACCTTGTGAATTGTGATACCTTCACCAAGTTTGATGTCCTATGCGTTATGTTAGCGCCTTTAAGAGCGCAGATGTAAATGAAGATGTTACACACAGCTTGAGTGACCGTGGAGATGGTTTGCTCCCCAGACAGGATGCACACGTCCTTTCCGTTCTTGACGAGTCCGTTGTAGGCGCCTCCGGTGAAGTTGGAGAAAGGTTGGCGAGCGGTGATGTAGGAGCCGTTGAGCAATGTCTGAGCAAAGGTGGGGACTTCGGTGATCACGCTGGATGGGTAAACTCCTTTGAAAACATGGTTCGCAAGCAAGGCTGCAATAGCGATAGTGTCGTTGCGAAGCTCAATAGCCTCGCCCTCTGGAATATCCCGTGGAACGTTGGCAAAAGCGGAATTGGTCGGGGCTATGATGGTTATGTTGGAAGCCGATGCGAGCGTTTCTGCAAGGCCATCAACAAGACCGACTAGCTCAAGCAACGTGCTGAGATCGTCTTGCGAAGCGAGAAGCCCAGCGAGATCACCTTGTGCCAGACAAGAGCCAGCGAAAATCGCAGCAGACCAGAGTGACAAGCGCATGTTGAAAGCTTCTGAAGTCGGTAGGCAGAGTTTGAGGTAGTTGATAGTGTTGTAGAATCCCAAGTCGAGTGTAAGATGCGATGCGATGCGATGCGATGGTAATAGAGATATTCTTACAAGTCGTTGTGCTCAACAGATAGTCTTTATACAACCAGATTCGACCCAGATTTGGCATTGCGGCGGCTGTCCCAACTGGATCAGCCATCGTGTCCATTGGATACTCAAAGTCATGACGATTATCCAGGAGTCGTAAATCGAGAGAAGCAGGATTGATCGTGAAATCCCAGATCACTGTTTTACTCATTTTAATGGTTCTCACGAGCGATTCGGCGGCTCGCATTTAACGCTGCACAGCCTTTGCCCGAACACGCTGGCAGTTGAATGCATTCAAAAACCTGCGAAGACAAGCGAAACTCTCGCGATTCCGTTCGTAGGCTGAATCACTCCAAATCCAGTCCGCGACATGTTTGTGGGGTTACGAACGGTCCTTTTGGGCCTAGTCCGTCCCAAAGCAGACGGGGTGTAAGCACAACGGTCACGATTTGGCCTTGGCAAGCCATCGCTGGGCGGCACAGACATATAGTATACAAGGAATTAGTAATAGGAGATTTCATATCCAAGTAAGTCGCCTGCTATAGAGCCCGAAGGCGGTGAGATCTCAAGCCAATGGATGAAAGGTTGTAGCGAGGAACCGGTCTTGTGACCCCCAAACTTCGATGGAACTATAGTTCAGGCTTATCACTCAACGTGATGGGGATTTTCAGTCCCTTGTGCCCTATTGCGGTGGCTGAATAGCATGAGTGGCACTTTGAACTGTAGGCGTTTTCGTAGGTACGTATGTTCGTTCTATCTTATCACAAGGCTGGGCGCGTCCATCGTCTTTTCGGTGATCGTAGCGTTTTAGTTGTCGAGCCATACTACGGTTACAATGTAGCCTCGTGAGAACTATGAGATTGAGCATCTAAGCTCAAAAATCCCCTTCATATACCCCATGGGTTAGCCATAGAGGTTACGCTCCCTCCACATGTTTCCCCGTCAGAGTCATACGGCAGTCAATAAGGTGCGCCTCCAGGCGGCAAACTGCGAAGAAGAAAAGTTAGAAGGGAAGAAAGGTCCTGAAAGTCTTGGCCCTCGGTGCATTGCGAGCCACATACTCCTTGGGCCACCCCTTAGCTGAAATGCCGAGTGAACTCTTGCTCTTTATTCCCAACAATGTACACCGACGTCAATGTGCCGAAAGACCCAAGTTCATTATTTTTATTGCGATCGCCAAATGCAATGCGCTCAGATACGCCCAGTCTCGCACAATACCACATCTCGGTGATAGTATCGGCGTCGCGGAAATGACCTCGGTGTGTCACGCCATTGGTGCGTTACCCGAGTGGCACAGCGTGCGACAACCCGCCCAATCCCCAAATTCTCCGTCCCACGACGAGAAATGCGACTCGAGTCAGTCACACCTCATAAACGGTTTCCTCAAAGACGGCCGATGGGATATATCGTCGGCTACCGTTTGAACGGCAAACGCTTGTTGGTCATTGGCTTTGGTCTTACACCACGATGGTTATGATTCAAATATATAAAATACCTATAATATTCTGAAGATGTTGTGTAGCTTCAACAATCAATGGGAATTTCACTTTGATCGAGAGCTTGTTCTCTGATTATTTGCCGACATCATGGTCCTGTTCACGTCTTCGAGAGCCTTGACGGGGCTTTTGATGTCCTCGCGCCAGTCCAGTGCGGTGCCATCAGTCTGACGATATCACAGGATCGTGGCAATGAGACTTCTTCTACCATGTGGAGCATCATGTTCGAGGTGTGTACTATGCTGGCTGATGCGACTTGAACATTGCAAGACTAATGGACATGAACGGCAAGGACATCAACTACTCCGGCGACGGCGGTATTCATGGCCAGCTTATCCGCAATAACGGCTTCCAAGGCGACAATCCTGGATCAGCAGCTTATTCGGCAATCTCGGGAACCACACTGGAAGTCGATTCTTCAATTCCCCTCTCTGACGCTCTTCCCAACACACTCAAAGTCAGTATCGAAGCTGGCGCCACAGGGCAGGTTGGGTTCGCCAATGAGGGTTACTGGGGCATTCCGGTTGATGGCAGCCCTCACTCGCACAACATCTTCATTCGTGGCAACTATCAAGGCCAGATGAACTGGATTTTGCAGAGTGTTTCCACCAAGGAGGTTTTCGCGAACGTTACTTTCTACGTCGACTCCACCACCGACAAGTTCACCGAGTTTCACCAACGTGAGCCGACTACTTTCTCGTCGTTGACGGACATAGAGTACAGGATGACCTTTGATGCGGGCCTTGTCGCCGGCTCTTCACTCTGGTTTGCGCTTCCGCAGCTCTATCCTACCACCTTCCACAATCGGTATGCCTTGTTCGTACTCAAACAGAACTGCGGCTAAGGTCAATGATCTAGCTACAACGGACTCAAACCATCACTGGCCGAAGCGGTGAACAACATTGGTGGATCGTTCCTTAGATTTCCTGGCGGCAATAACCTGTATGCCCTGAACCCCGTATGCTTGCGGGAAGCCTGCGATGTCTAACTAGGATCAGGGAAGGGCCGAATGTCGAGAACCGCTGGAAGTGGAATGAGACGATTGGTGCCATAACTTCGCGTCCTGGTCACCAAGGTATTAGCAGAAACTCTTTCAAGCAGGATGTCAAGCTAAAAAAAGCACAGGTGCCTGGGGATACCCGAACACTGATGCCCTTGGTATGTATGGCTTCTGCCGCACAAAGTTCAACTCAGAAATAGCTAATGTACCGCAGGTCTTCATGAATACTTTGAATGGTGCGATGATATGCGCCTTGAGCCATTCCTTGACGTCTACTCTGGGTACTCCCTCGACGGGACCCACATCACTGGTGAAGCTCTGAAACCTTTCGTTGATGAAGTTCTCCAAGAGCTTGAAGTACGTACTACAAAACATGAAGCCTAATGTTCCACTTTCTCTAACCAGTTATGTTGAAAAGTACGTCCTTGGCGATTCCTCGACACCTATGGGAGCCCTCCGAGCCAAGAACGGACGCGAGCAGCCATGGCCCGTCAAGTGGGTCGAAATTGGCAACGAGGATGACTTTGGCTGCAGCAGCTATCCTGAGAGATTCGCCGCATTCTACAATGCCATCCGTCCCAAGTATCCAGACCTCCAGCTCATCGCGTCTGCCACCGGCTTCAACTGCCTGCCTGACCCTTTTCCCGAAGACGCATGGATCGACTACCATGAGTACAACATCCCTGAGAACTACATCGTCAACTTTGCCCAATGGGACAATGTTTCTCGCAGGAACAAGTACATCATCGCAGAGATGGGTCGCTGGAGCGTGCAGTATTCGGACATGATCGGGTCGGTGTCCGAGGCCGTCTTCATGCTTGAACTGGAGCGCAACAGCGACCTCATCCGCGGCGTAGCTTTTGCGCCTTTGCTTAGTCTTGTGGACCACCAACAATGGGCGGTAAGTTCTTGTCCTCCCTTGGTTGAAGACAAAACGGCGAGCCGAAGCTGACTTTTGGAAACACGTGCAGCCCAACCTGATCCCATTCAAACAGGCACCTGACGCCATCGTTTACACGTCCAGCTACTGGGTCCAACAACTCTTTGCACACAACGCCGGCGACGTGACCCACGAGGTCACCTCTGGTTCTGGCTTTGACCCGGTCTTCTGGAGCGCTGTTAGCGCCGGTGAGACGTACATCGTGAAGCTGGCCAACTACGCCGCTGAGCCGCAGCAAATGGACATTAAGATTGCAGGAAAGGGCATTGCGACGCTGTCGGTTCTGGCTAATGACGACCCTGATAGTGCCAACAGCCATGCCGGATCTCCCATCGCCCCTCCGGTCATTTCGCGCATCGAGTCTTCCGGCGACAACTTCAGCTTCGTCATGCCTGCTTGGTCCGTTGCGGTCCTTCGCGCAGACTAAAAGTGTTCCTTCAGACGATTGCGATTTCGTACATATTCCACCGCGTAGACATGGCGGTGGTTTGAGCATAAAATTTCTTTCTCTCGACCAATGGCGATGATTCCCATTGGCGAAAACCGGCTCGGGTCAGAATCCGCGAAGGAATTTTCACGGAGTCGACTGCAGACGCGGCCAATTTCTACATTCCTTTAGCAAATTAAACCAAGGCTTTTGGAACATCGCGGTTCTCTACAAATCATCATTTGAATGCCATTGCATACGTAGCTAATCACCGCCTCTGGGCTCTCTGAGTCTAAGGAGCACTTAATTTTGGCGCTGTATTGCAATTAGATCCGTGCCATGTTTCATCTCGATCATTCCCCCGGATCTTGAGTTACAATAAACGTGGATCAGTTGTGATGAGACCCCATCACTGACCAAGCCTCTTCGCGACCTCCACTTGGGTAAGTTGTCGGAGCGCATTTAAGCTTACTTTGTGATAGCGGAGTTAAGAACAGAAATTGGTCCCAGTTTGGGTCGGCCTCCGGCTTGATGACTCGCACGGTATCCAATCACTCTCCTCAAGAGCGACACATTATGATCACAAAATGTCACGATTGCATGCTCTTGGGTGTTGATTCGAGACCGTGAAGCCCCGATGCATCGTGAAGGATCATTAGACTCATCAACGGTGAGGAGCATCATGCCGTAATGGGGTTGGCCTGCTCAACGAAATTCGTCTTATTTCCAACAATCAAGCCGAATCTCGACTGCATGGACGCAATCAAACCATCCCGCCAACCTCCCCAAAGGCTGCGGGCTGCCTCCCCCAAAGTGGCCGGGCTATGCCAAGTTCCGCCTAGCTGAAGCAGGGATACCCTTCGTTAGCTCTACGCGTGACCAGTGAGACCCCGGCTGGCTTATCGTCTCTCTCTAGGCACCGATCACGAACTGTCCGGGGTTCCGGTGCTTGATTGGACCTTTCGCAATGCGAAGCGCACGTGGGTGTGGGCTCAGCTATCAATCGGGCGCCATTTGCTGACCTTCATGGCGTTATTGGGGCATATCTTCTCATGTTGGACCCTGAAAGTTTGCGGCACGGCGCTGTCAAAATTGCTCAGCCACCCCCGGCTAGCTGATATCAGCTGTTCATGCTTCAGGCTGGCGGTTAGCACATATTAATCCAACGGCGCCGTTTCACTTTTGTTTAGTTTTCCTCCTTCTCTCACGAATCTTTGAGAAGGCGGAAGAAAGTGCCTTCATCACAGCGACGAGACAACACACCGTCAGCACTCTGCGAAACCATCTACACCGAGATCGCAAATCGAACGAGATTTGATCCACCACAACTTACGATGCGAAACCCATTCAAAGCCAAGAAGCAACGTCAGACTTGGGAGGGTCGGTCGAGAGCGCTCACACTGGACGACCCCGTCTTCAAGGACTGGGACAAGGAGGAGCTCAAGTTCGAACCGAGACACCAAAAGTCGGATGAAGAACTCGCAAAGAAATCTGCAGCCAGCGACAGCGGCGACCCGTCCCGCCTCTCCGGCGAGCACGCTGGCTCCTACTACAATTTCGACAGCACACTAGGCTACGCGACCGTCGCTGGCGCCTTCTCTGGTGCTGAGGCCGGGGGGCCAAGCGATGCGGGTGCGAGCAGCAACGCGCCCGACAGTGGAGCCAGCGCTTCGGGAGGTGGGGATCCATCCGGCGGGTCATCTGCATGACTTGAGGCCTTGAAGGTCGTTGGGATGACGCCGGTTTTGCAGCGGCATAAGTGATGGATTATCCGGGTATTTCGATTTTGAACTTTTTGGGGGAGTCGATCTTGAGGAGTTTGTTCTGAAATGACCTGTTTCCGCGGGCTGGCGCTTGGAGTTTGGATTTATGAACAGCGCACGAACTTGTACGATTCCGATACCACTTGGGAGGATAATCTCGAATTCTTCGGTCGCTGATGCATGGAGACAAGACCAAAAAACGTACTTTAAAATGACATCATTATTTGGAAGAAGAGAAGGTGGAATTTTTGGATGATGAACCAATTGTACGTCAATATTGCGGACGTGATGCGTGATGGACGGACTGACCGAGAGGATGCCAGGATGCCTAGCAAGGGGCATGATGTAGGATCGTGGCACAACAACGCAAGCGAGAGAACATGGAGCAAACATTCCTCACTCACTGGGGATCGCCGCGCGATTCACCGTATAACTGTTGTCAGAGGGCATCTGAGTAAAAAACTACGGTATCGCATTCGCCAGCACTGTTCTAATCCTCCCTAGACGAACTATCAGTCAGTTCCCAGCAGATCCAGGAGCAAAAGCTAAAACTTCCAATCGAGCTTGAACTTTCTTTCGCCTTTTCCGTCAAGTGACCGTCGTCATTCGCAGCTAAGCGAGCTTACCAGTCATCACCGTTTGCGAGACAATGTCTAGCAAACAGACCCCTTGGCTCAGCCCTCTCAGGCAATGCTGACTGCAGGCTGCCCTGCAGGCGACAACGCCAGCCGCAATGCGACTCCTTGGCAATGGGTGTTTAAGAGGCATAAGCCATCTTTCCAACCTTCGATATCTTGATCAAGCAAGCCCTCACTACTATCCTCGCACATTTCAAGTCGTTACCAACTTGGGCCACTAAACAAAACTTGTCGTATTTCCATTCTTAACGTACCGCCGGCGAAAAGTTTATAATGCCAAGCGACAACCATGACTGACAACGGAGCCAATGACTTTTGCCCAGTCATCAATTGCTACAACCTGTCAGAGACTTCAATTCAAGCATATCCTGACATCTCGGGCAATGGTGTAGGTAGACTGTGCAATCTTAAGGTATATGGTCTGAAGTGCTAATGCCCTTGAGGTTTTGATTGGCTTTATGGGAACGGCCTATCTTGTACTGCTCTTGGCCATTGGCAACTATTTCCTCGCATATGACCCCACGGACTGCCCCTTTCAAAGCGGGAACTCAAAGAACGAGAACATCAACAGAGAGCTGTGGCGGCCAAATCCGATTGATGAGCGGTTCCTCAGGTGGGTACGGAAGGGACCGTTGGTCTTTACGGATGACACCTGCGCACGCCTTCGAATGGCATTTGATGAGGTAAACGGCCCCAGTTTGATTCTGCCATCAATAACTTAAGAGACCGCCTGATTTTCCTGCGTCTCCGCGGCTATATTTCCTGCGCGCTGGATTACTCCTATCGAAAGCGATAGTAGCAATAGCGACGATGAGGACGAGGACGAGGACGAGCACGCCTATAACGATAACAATAGAAGCGATGACGACGACGATAGTAAAGTGATTAGAGTATAGTCACAGGAAAAGTACTTGTTCTATTGAGGACAGGAAAAACAGGCGGTCGCTAATTTAGCATGTCGCCATTCATAACTAACAAATTGAACAGTCAATCATCATGCTCTGTGATGTACAAGTCGTCACGGGCCTCGGAATTCTTATTAGCGGATTTGTCCTCTTGCGATGTGGTCTTGACGCTATTCACTGGCAAATAGCCGTCTTCCTAGCGTGGTTTTCTACTGTCACTCACCTTTCTGGACTAGAGGTTCTGCGGACTCATCTTAACACCTACGTCTGGTCAAAGCATCTCCGATTCTCACTTATGTCCCTTCTCCTGATCCTTCTCTTAGTGGGCATCGTACCCACTGGCTTCTTCAGCCTGCGGAACAGGAACTTTTCCTCGCCAGCTGTATGCTACTTTGACCTGAAATATGGCTTTTGGAGATTCAAGGAAACCTTGAGTCAAAGCGACTTCCCAGAGATGCAGCTGGAACGTACACCCGCATACCAGGCTATGGTGTACTCTATGGTCTTGCTTGTTCTCGGCTTTGGTACCCGATCTATGAAGTTGCTCCACCCGTTGTCTAGGACGTTCAAGCTCAATGTCAGACAACCGACGAGTCGTCGCGTAAGAAGACTTTTGACAGACTTTGCAAACACGCCGGCATCGTCGGAACGCAGGAAACTCCTCAAGATCGGACTCATCTTGAAACCTGCTCTGGCAGGGTTTTTCATGGTCAGACTGACCTCTGACTTTTTCAGCTCATCCCTATTTGAGGTTCGTGAATCAGAATATCCGAGTAATCGAGACGAATTGGCTGACAGTGGTCTCAACAACAAGGTCTATTGGCTCTGTGTAATCCTGGTCTGGGGGACTATCAAGGTTCTCGGTACCCGCAATGAGCTTCTTGGCCTCATCGTGACAGCCGTCGACGAAGATCAGCTCACGCTAGCTGAGGCAGAGAATCAGTGGACCTTCGGGCAAATACTGCCTGTAATCCTCCTATTCGGCCCGGTCTTCACGATATTCGGCACTTTTGTCCATCACATCACCAAGCCGGACTCTGCAGACTCTCAGCTCCGGCAACATGAAGTCTATTCGGATAGTGGGTTCAATGAGGCCGCTATATCCGGTACGACGGTAGCTCCCAGTCTCGTCACATCGTTCGAACAAGGGAGTATGAAAACACCATCGAAGAATGCGAGGCCCAAAGTGAACGTCGCCGACTCTCACGCGGGGTCGTACGACGCCGACGAGGCTTTCCATCAGGCTATCCCGCATCTTGAAAATTACAGGTGCGCTTCCTGGCTGCCCGTCTGCGCAGCCTTTCCGTTTCTGGGGCTGCTAGCAGCGGTGATGATGGCCTTTGCAGCGTCGTTCGTCTTCAACAATTACTTCAAGCCAGGCCTGACGCTGTACGATCTCTGGATAAGCGACCTCAACTTCGTCTGCAATCTGTTCATCAGCTACCCTTGCGCTTGCGCAACAACCATTCGATTGGGCCTGTGGATGGAAGGGGAATATCCCGCAAAGACTAAGCCCCGAGGATGGAGACAGTTTCTGTTCTTTTGGGCTTGCGCACTTATCTACTGTGCGGACTTTCTGCTAACGATGAGAAGGCCGCATATTTTTGAGCTTTCTCATCGGTGGCAGTCGATATCGCCGATTGGTGGGCTGATGGTCACTTTGTGCTTCTACACCTCCCACGCCGCCGTTGTGTTTCTGGGGACATTGAGAAATAATGTCAATGCAGCATGACTGAAACAGCTGTTGGGTTTTCTTACTGGTATCAAGAAGCACAAAAAGTCTTTTTCACTAAGCTTTTCATATTTATATCGTGAGCTAGCTCAATAGAACAACGTCGTATCTATATATCCGCAGTAAAGGTTGAAGTAATTTTTATGGGGAGGTGTTGCGGAGGGTGGGGTGAGGTGTTTAGCCCCTTTTTCGTCCCAGACGAATTTACGGAACTCTTTTCGACTCGCAAAAAGGCTGGCGAGGGAAACCTTGCGCAATCCCATCGACGAGAATCGCGCCCGTAATGAAGAGGAGAGTCTGTCTCGTGGCGTGGATTTGCTCGAGGTGAAGCTAGCCACGAAGCGAATCAGGCTTGGGAGAGGATGGAGGTATGGGCCAGGGTAGACAATGCACCGCCTGTAGACATAGGATAGGCCAAAGTCACATGGAACATATTCAGGGGCTTCGAATCATTGCCTCAGCATGGCTCTAATCGTTGGTATCATTGGTGGTTGCCCTATATATAGTTTGTCCGATGTCGAGTGCTCGGGCACGGGAATGTACACAGCCTCAAACCATATTTGAACCTCTATCGCGCAGAGCGACGACTTGATCCAAATAATGTGGCGGTAGGTCTGTTCCCTTTTGCGACCAATAACATATGTTAACGGCAATTGGGGCAGGAAGCGTGACTGGGACCGCAACAGGCAGCCAATTGCTGGGAGGCTTCGGAAGGCCTAACTGAAGAGGATGTCAGCATGAGGGTAACCCTTAGAGACACTAGCTCCATACCTGAACTATAGGCGCGCGTAGATGGTCGCATCCCTCAGGCGTACATATGCCGTGGCCGTTCGGACTTTTGCAAAAAGCAAGGCGCCGACTCTCTCGGACGAAGAGAGCATGCAACGCCGGGTATCATAGCATATCTTCGTCTTCATCATAATCGACACCGTCTCCACGCTCTTCCTCCTCCTCGCGTCTGCTAGCCTCAGCGCTCGCGCCAATCTTCCGTACGCCCTCTATGACGCCCAGGAAGAAGCCACGGCTCTCGGCCAGCTCCATCGCTCCCACTCCGCGCAGACTCATGACACCCGCAACCTCGGAAAGCTCTTCCGTGCTCTTTCTCAGCTTCGCGGATCGCACTTCTTGGAGGTCTCGGAGGAGTGACCTGACTTCGGAGGGGGCGGGTATATCGTCGATCGCGTGGGCTAGCAGCATCTCTGCGAGCTCGAACCAGTGGTATGGCAGGGCGTTTGGCGGTGCATCGGCGGTGCATGAAGGTAGGAACGGGGCGGAAAGCGTCTCTTCGCCGTATCGGCTGGCGTTTCCTAGCGCGTCGCCTCTGGCGGGCGGTGGCGGAGGGGGCGAGAAGGCATCGGGCTCGATTTTGGTTTCGTGGTGGACGATCTTGGCAAGCGACTGGGGATGGAGCCATGGCGGAGGGACAATGTTCGCTCGACGTTGTTTCTTGAGGAGGAGGGCGAGCCACATGGGCAGATCGGCGCGTGCCGGAGGTCGTAGGGCTGGTGTTGCACCCTGCAAGACGGAGTGACACGTCAGTAAAGGGATCGATCGTGACGCGTCGCGGGGGGGACAATGGAGGGGCTCACGCTTAGCAGGTCGATGCTTTCCAGGCGCTGGCGGGGCACAATTGTGACCAGTTCCATTTCGCAGAGGAAAGCAACTTCGGCGGGTACGAGACCCGACGGCAGAGGTAAGGCCATGGTCTCTGGCGGGAGATCTGTCGCGGGTGACGGAACGGACTCGATGATGTCGGGGACGGAGCTCAGGTTTGGCGGCGGTGCAAAGGCGCGTCAGGTCGGGTCCGCCGCGGCGGGGAGCGCGGAATCTGGAATGAACCGGCCCGCCCACGCCGTGAGGTGCCTGAGTGGTGGAGGTGGGGCAGGGTCTGGGCGTGGAATGGAAGGTGCACTGGGTGTGGGGTGCACCTTCCCTTGAGTGAAATTCACTTTCGCGCCTGGACATTTTGACAAGTCCACAGTCCATCTGCAGGCTCGGGCTGAGGTACGTACCGCGGTTTCGGAGTCGGGCTGCAAGGCCGAGCTCCACTTGTGTCCCGAAGCCCCACTCGAGGCCCGGCCCCTCCGTGCCGTTTACCAGGCAAGCGGGCAAGCAAGGCGTGGAGGAGGGAAGATACTGATAAGGCGGATAAGGTCGTCATGCGCAAAAAAAATCCCATTCTCTCCCAACTGGGGTCGCGTAAGTGTAAGGCTCAGGGGTAAGGTCCAGCTGAAATGTTGCCCTACTGGACGAGCTGATAGCCCTATTTGGACCTCGGCTTCATTAAAAAGCTGCGCGCCTGGACCAGTCCAGCATGGTTGGTTGCGTTCCAGACCCTGGATCTAGGCCCCCGGCGAATCGGCGCGACACGGCGAGATGCAGTATCGTGGCGATTGATGCACGTCGAGAGCACTCGGTTTCCAGCCTCCTCCTCTCATCCCGTGCTTTCGTGCATACGCAGGTTCGAACTCAATAATCGCGCCAAGGCACCGACACCGCGGATGAATACGGACAACAATACCTAGTCCTAGTCGTACCCAGCCCCCAAGACTTTTGTTTTTCTCGTCGGGGCTTCTCCGGTAGGCGTGCCCGGGAACAAGTACCTACATGCAATGCCGTTCCGCGCTAATCACCGTATGAGGCCACATCTTGAAGGATACGAGCCAATAACATGCTTGCTATCGAAGCGTTCCTCGCCGAGAAACATTATGTAATCCTCCTAATTGAGATCTCTGTGTCACTTCATCTACCAGGGAAAGGAAACCTGCTCTGGCTTAACGGTTGCGACTTGAATTGCCGATCTCACCCCCTTTGCCCACACAACACAACCTCACCGGTCGGGATTCTCCGACGTCTCGTCCCATTCAGAGTTCTCACGCGCGTTCCATCTCCACCGTTTAACCACACTGTACCGTATTCCTCATACGGTGACCCTTCTTGCATAGAACACCGGACCTGGAGCCGAAGCCCGGCAACCGCGGATTTTGTTCTCCTGTCTGTGATGAATTGATCTGTGCTGCCCAAGAGCCTCGCCTCGCCTCGCCTAACCCCCGTGACGGTGACCTTCACCAACAGCCGCAGTTCGTCACAGAAGAGTCGTATTCGAATCTCGATACAGACGAACGTCTTGGCTGTGTCCGAGTCATTGATGACGAATCACTCCGTTCTCCCCGACATCTCGTCCGAACGCTAGGTGCCTACCCCGGCTCGGAGCCTGGAATCAGGGAGGAAGAGAAAGAGAGAAGGGGAACTGCAAGGATCTCTAGGGCCCAGCCAGGCTACACCACCACCACTTACGCTGCTGTCTGTGTGTGTTTTCCAAGGCCACAAGTCCCAAACGGCCGTACCCCACCGTCATCCAAGAAGCACGCATCCTGCTTCTCAAGCACACACTTGCTTGAGGGGGAGGGTCTGGTGGCGCATCCAGTATCCGCCAGCTTGGCCGCGGCCGCCCTCATTGGGACTTGCACTTCTGCAGGAAAGGCGGTGGCCCAGACGTGGTGTCCTTTCCTTGGGCTGCTGCGAGACTCGGGTGGAGTGTTTTCAGCTGGCATTGCCCATCAACACCGCATTCTTCCTTCTTCATACCACCAGTGACCACGCGTGGCGGCCCGATCCTGCCTCCAACTGACGGGGTCGGCAGTTCCTGACGGGCAGCCACGCACTGTCTTAGGGGCATAATTCCATTGTGGAGCTCTCCATGTTCACCTACAGTGGTGTTTCGGGCATGACACCGCAGACTCTGGCCGGTCATCGAGCCCTGCCGTTGTCCACCGTTGTCCACGGTCTGCAACCTCTTTCCGCGGGGATCTTCTGCCCAGAAAGCCCTATTGATCAGAAGAGGAAGTCCGCCTGCGGCGCCAGACAAGAGTCTTCTAGGGCTCTGGCGCCGCATTATCTCTCCCAAATCAGGGTTGCTTCTTCGTCGAATTTTCTCCACCGGCCGCAGCCCACCCCCTAACGGACGGCCAGCCCTACCAACAACCTCTTGGAGGGTTTTGTCAGCCGCTCGTCGGAGCAGATTGTCTGCCTTTTTCTGCTTTTAAGCTTGAGGCAAACTCTCGACCATGGCAACGCCCTCCACGAAGGACAACTTGGCCCCTCAACCGGAATTTGGTAAGATCCTGTTCAACAAGCCGTGCAGTACGTGCCGCCGCCGCAAAGTGAAATGCGACAGGCAACTGCCATGTGGAACTTGCGGTAAGAACGGCACGGCCGCAACCTGCACTTACGATGTTCCGCGAGAGGGCACCCCCGAGAGCCAACAGCGGCTCCAGGAGAGGGTGGCCCGTCTCGAGAGAGAGATTGAGGAGCTGAAGGGGATGGCTGCACGCGGTGAACCGTTAAGGCCTCCGAAGATTCCGCTGCTATCGACAACTCCATCAAGCTTCAGCGAGTACAACAGCATCGAAGAGTCCATGGCCGGCGACCCCGGAATCCAGGTTGACGACGAAAACGTCTCTTTCTATCTCGGACCGAATTATTGGCTCAACATCCAAGAGTATAACTACGAACCTCGCCATCTCTACCGTATCGAGTCCGACAAGACCGGCAAGAATCCGGATAGTCCTACTGCTTGGCCAATTGGTAGGAACCCAGCACTGCCGGATATGTCCCATTTCCACCTCGATCCCGAGAAAGAAGACATCTTGACCGACCTCTTTTTTGCACATGTCGAGCCGTTTATCCGGATGTCCCACAATGCTTACTGGAGGCAGCAAATCACGGATTTCCGAGTTGGTGTCAGCAAAATTCCGGTGGACGTAGAAGCGGCAATGTTTACTACTCAAGCGTTGACTGTAGCCGCGTTACCCGCAGTGGTGATTCAAGAAAAGCTTGGGAAGGCAAAAGAAGACGTTCTGCGGCACCTGCAGGAGGCTTCACAACTCGCATTAGAGCGGGCAGATATTCTGCGCAGCAGGAAACTACTTGCATTCATCGCCTTGCTTTATCATATCGTAGGTCGACTGCTTTTGGATATCTCAGGGCTTGTTGCGGCAAGAGAAAGGATGTATGCTGACATGTATAGCAAATGAAATTCATCACTGGTGATGGAGAAATTGCGGTCTCTCTCCTTGGCTTGGCTGGTCGTTTTGGGACTCGAATAGGGCTGCATCGCGACCCAGGTCATTATCCGACATACACACCTTGGGTCACAAACATGCGGCGACGGATATGGGGGCATTTCGAGCTCCTGGACAATCCAGTGTACAACCTCGAAGGAGCTGATTCTGGTCTGCCGTTTATCTCCGATACCCAGCCTGCAACGAACGCAAACGACAGTCAGTGGGTTCCTACTAGATTCGCCAAACCCAGTTCTGCCCCATCAGACCAAGAGGGAATTACAGATATGTCCTTTGTCCTGGTGCGTCAGTGCTTGATGAAGACCATGCAGTCCATCGCACGAAGGAGGACCGGTTCCAGTCCAGAAGAGCTCGGCCGGATTGTCGAGCAGACGGAGAATTTCTTGACGACCAAGTTCATGAGTCATGTCGTTGCCGCAAACCCGAGCCATGCGATCATGCTGTCATACTACAAGGGCTCAATGAAGAGCATGAGACTTCTGATCCATCAACTTCACGCACAGCGTACGTTTGGCCCGGAGCCCGATTATCGGGCGAAGTAAGATCGAAAGCCTTTCCTTCATGTTCAGATCTAGGTTACTAACATTGTGCTGCCTCTCAGGTACTACCAGGAATGTGTCGAAATCCTAGAAGAGATGGAGCGTGGAGAAAACATCGCACTGCAGAACCACTGGGGATGGCTTTACCGATGGCCAACAACGCCCTGTTTGATCTACAATGTACTCATTGGTCTGCGCGATCAATCAAATCATCCAATTACGGACCGAGCCTGGCGGCAAATCAACGTGGTGTTCCGGAGGCACAACAACGAAGACATTAGCATGCGGAAGTTTGCTGCTTGGCGAGTTATCGAGGAGCTCTGTGAGGAGGCGATTCACTACCACAAGCAACGATCTCACCAGGGAGCATGGTACACGCACAGGCTTGACGCATTAGGGCCGACAAGTACAGCAAAAGGAAAGGAAACACTATCACTGGAGAACGCGACGGTCGATGATATTCTAGGGGACGTACGGATGTTTGGGCAGCCGAGTGCATCCCACACGGCCGTCATGGGTGGCCCGGGCTACTTTGCGGCCCAACCAGTTCTGCAACCTATGAGCTTTACATCCTGGGGCCAACCCCCTCAGGCCACTGTTCCGTCACAATATCCCACAAACGCGGATTCTGACGACGAGGAAGAGGACGACGACGATGATGAAGAGATGTAACGACGGCAGGGCGGACCAAAAAAGGGGATTAGGTGTTGAGGTTATTACTATGTGGGCTATCTTATGAGTTGCGACGGTGCTAGTCCATCGCGCAACATTGACAACGTGTCTATTACGACTAGAAAAAGAACGACCAATAGAAGAGGAGGAAAAGGGCAGCACAGCCAATGATGACTTGAGTTTCAGCTCGTCAATGCTTACTGGGCCGGTGAGTCCTGGAGTTCCCAAAGGCCCAACCATCTGGAGAACTCAAAATTAGTTGAAATCAAAGCAACTCAGAGACATGCTCAACTCACATTGACTAGCGACGTAGATGTCGATGTTCAGCTCGTCGGCCCAAGACCAGACCAAATTGGGGTTCTTGAGGAATGCTCTGCCAACAAGAACAGCATCCGCTTGCCCGTCGGCGAGAATCTCGCTGGCTTCCTTTCCGGTTGAGATGCCACCAACAGACCCAACGAGTGTCGAGGTTCCCTCAACAGCCTTCTTGACAGCCGCAGCCAAGTGAGCCTGATACTTGGGTCCGAACTCAACCTTCATCCTCGCGTCAAGCGCGCCGGCGGAGATATCGAGGAAATCAACACCCTTGTCCGCGAGGATCTTGGCAAGCCTCGTGGCTTGGGTGATTTCCCATTGGGGGATCGACGGATCGTGTTCCAAGTAGTCGGTAGCCGCTAGCCGAACAAGGAGAGGGTAGTCCTCGGGGACGTTGGCGCGGGTCAGCTCGGTTAACTCGACCATGAGACGGATACGGTTCTCGAAGCTGCCGCCGTATGTGTCGGTCCTGTGGTTGGAGGCTGGGGACAGGAACTGATTGATGAGGTAACCGTGGGCGGCGTGGATCTCGATGGTCTTTGTGTGTGGGAGCCGGGTTAGTCCGAGACATGGTGTTGGATGCAATCATCATGGACTTGACTTACATCGTAGCCGATTCTCACGGCACGCTTAACGGCCTCAACCCACTTGGTCTTGAACGTCTCAATCTCCTCGAGGGTCATCTCCTTAGGCACGTACGTCGCATTGGAGTATGCCTCTGCAGACGGGGCATAGACAGTCTCAGGCCATCCCCGTGCCTACACCAACATCAGTCTCATCACAACACCCACTCTCGCGTGACGTTGTCTCATACCTTTTCGCTAGCGACGGCCTTCCGGTCCACCCACGGCGCGATAGTGCTCGCCTTCCGTCCCGCATGCCCAATCTGCGCGCCGATGAAGGCCCCCTGGCTGTGCACAAAGTCAATGACCTCCCTGGCGGCTTCGACATGTGAATCGCTCCACAGCCCCAAATCCTCGGGAGAGATCCGGCCCTCGGGCACGACGCTCTGCACCTCTGTCAGGACGAGGCCCGCGCCGCGCACCGCATAGCCGCCCAGGTGCGTCTTGTGCCACGGCGTCATGTGCCCATCGTCCGCGGAGTACTGGCACATGGGCGAGACGAAGATGCGGTTGTGCAGGGTGAGCCCGCGCAGCGTCAGCGGGGAGAAGAGCGTGCCGGAGGGCTGGGGATCCCTGGCGGTGCCGGCGGCCGGGTGCTGGATCGGGGTGAAGTACGGAACCTTTGGTCCGGGGGGTGTTAGCAGTAAACGAGGCTAGTGGAGCAAAACGACCGTTTGGCAGAAGCTCTTGTGCAGCAGCAGCAGCAGCAGCATTACATACATTCGCGGCCCCCTCATTGATGAGATCGGTCTTGGAGATTTGCAGGGCGCCAGCAACCGGAGCTTGGCCCGCGGCCTGGGGAGCTTCGATCTTCGTCATTGCGTGAGTGGCGCGTGTGTGGGGGTGCAGGTGCTACTATTTCAGACGGAGATTTGGATTGGATGGTTTAAGCTTGAATTGTGCTGTTGGTCGTGATAATTCCCGAGACAATGCGAGTTGCTCGTATTTCTAGGAGACATGCAGCAAGAGGCATTCGGCGAAAACGGCGAGACCTTATATGAACTGTCCATCTGCGTTTGTGTTACCATCACGACAGAGAGAGACACCACGCACGCGGCCTCGAGTTGAGCCGCACGGAGCTGAATAATCGCATCTAACGCCGACATCTTTGAAATGTCGGCGTTCTGTTTGGTCATCGGGCGAATTCAATTGCAGAAAATGCCGATGACGCCACGAGCGCGCGCTCGGGTTGACATTCCTCCTCTTCTCGCTACACTGCTTCTGGAATGGTTCCAAAAAGAGTACACGGGCTGATTACATACGCGAGCGCAAGTGCTGACCGTATTATTACAGCGCCCTATGTATCTCTGATATGTCCAACATAAGGCGCAGCTACATATCCCGAGTGGTACATTCTTATGCAAGCAAACGCCGTCGCGTTTTGAATGTCAGACCTGATTACTCACAGTGAGTGAGTAGCAAAAGCCGCAAAGGTGCACAAGGCCGCAACGGGTAATCCGAATAGCGAGATCTGCAACCGAGCAGCAGACGCGAACGCGAGGTTTGACTATGTCTTTGCGGAGGCGCGATGCGAGCCCAACGCGAGCCGTCCTGCAGCAGACGTCCTGTGGCCTGGGGATGGGGCGTCGCACAAAGTTCAAAATGGCATTTGACAGCACGCCATGCATCACTATTGTAACTTGCTCATGACTGGCTTGTGTTGTGTTCTTATGCCGGTGTACGAATATTCGTACACCGACCGTAATGTATTGTGCATGCAGAGTCGGGAAGATATCCGGTCCTCCTACGGAAAGTGTCCGCTGTATGAAACCCTGCAGGCGGACGGGCGAATGTTTATGTTTCGCGCGGCTCGGTGGTTCGCCGTCTCGCCGACGTACCATGGTGGGGAGGATGCGGGAAGATGGTCCGGTTGCCGACCCTGGCTTGGCTGGAGGCGTTGAAGCGGGGCGTCCACAGTGTCTCAGACCCTACCCGGGCGAGAGAAACAGGGAGCCGGGGCCGTGATAAGGTTGTATCGGCACGTCTACGGTTCTTGGCCATGGACATTTTGCAGCTCTCCAGCTCGCGTCAATATCGACAGTGGGATCCTATTCCCGCGGATTATGCTGCCTGGGCAGCATTTAATGGTATCAGAACGTTGCAACAGTGAGGGAAACGGTTGTTCAAAAGAACATGACAAGATTTTGTACGTAAAGATAACGGAAGACAACATGTTGACATGGTCAAGGGGACTGGAACAACTGATAAAATTTAACAGTTGTTAAAACTCATCAACATTTCGATGTTATTCACTTCCCGCGGAGTTCTGTTGAAAACCAGCTTACGTAAAGACAATGCAAATCACATATTTCATACACTAGTCGAATAGTCTATTCCATCCATTATTAATGAAACGGTGAGCTGAAAAGTATAAAGTTGCAAGGTTGCAACGAACCTGTGGGACGGCGCCTACGCAACCCCGGTTGGGACTTCCGCAAGACAAGGAATAGCCAACAAGAGTTGCATCCCGTCAACTGCTCAATCAAGTCGGTACATCCCCCGTACGTGGCACGACTAAGCAGTAGTTATCCCGAGAGATCAAAACCCTCTTAGCTTTCCACAAGATTTACAGCTAATTAAGTCAGTGAAAATGGTCATTATATTGTTGACCTATCGATGTACTGGCGAAGTTCAGTGATTGGTAACATCAGGTGTCTGTTACATATGTCAAAACTATGACCTCGATCCCTCTAAGCTTGAAGCAACGCGAACATGGGCGGTCAAAGAGAAGAATCAGCTCGTTAACATGGAATATACCAAGTAAAATACGGTCATCTGAGCCCCTAGAATTTAAGCACTCGACATTCTAGCGGCTTAGAAGCCTTATGAACTGTGCCAGGAAAATATACTATGCTCGCTATTAATTTTCTGACAAACAGGTATGCTGTCGAGCTCCAATGCAGCGAGAGTTCCCATGGGTTTTCAATTGCAGCAAACATGTTTGGATGACCTTTCCTGGGGTTATGACACCGTAAAAACCGTATGACGTGAGCGTCTGAGCCGTAGACCGAGTTCAAACAAGTTCAATGACACGATGCTTCGGGATGCCTTTGTTAATAGTGTTAATTGAGTCTGAGAAGATGGAGAGTCCCTTGCGATATCAAGGCTTTAGCTAGCTGTTTGTAAAATGTGATGCTGCCCCGTGATGGGCGAGATGTACATGACGTGTATGTGAAGGAAAAATTGGGGAGAGCTTCCGGCAGAGACTGGCCGAATTACAGTGTTGCGCATTTAGAGTGAGTCTTTTCTCTTTGAAGGCTTGAGCCCTGGGAGCTCTAGATGCTTTGAAGCATAAGTAGTTTTAAACCTTTACGACAGCAGGCCTTAAAGACAGTGGGGTGAGGATTGCAATATTTGAAGAGACGCGCTGTATACCCTAACGATGAAGACATTCCATTTGCATAATAGCGAAGCTTGAGAAATAAACGACGGAAGCGGCAAAGTGTAGATTTCAGTGCGCCAAAGATCTAGCCAATGAGACGAGAACATGTCCAAAATAGAGCGACGAGGCAACAATAAAACCCGAGTACGACGCGAATTGAATCCACTCAAGGGCCGAAATGGGAAATGGAAACGCCAATAGGAAATGAACGATGTATATGGTCCCACAAAGCCAGAAGAAACCAAATTTCCGCCATCCACCGCTCAGATTCATTCCAAGACCGAATTGGATGGTAGTTGTGCAAGCGCAAGGGTAGCTAATCAATAGAATATAGATCATGTTGTATTCTCCGATCCATACCTCATATAGAGTCCATTGTGGTTCAAACCCCCCGTAAAAGTTGAAGACTGCCGCAAAAAGCACCATAGTAGCGGCGACAATGCTCAAAAATGGGACTGCCACACAAATTGGGAGCCATTGAGCGTTGCTGTAATCTTTCAGATGCATCAGATCCATTTCGCTGGGATTTGAGATGGGATTCGCCGCTGCACCAGGAGGAGGAGGTGGCTCGAGTAGGTCTAAGCCTTCTTGTGTGGTAACTTCAAGTGAGTCAAATGATATGCTCTCGGCCGTTCCGCTGTATAATTGAGTCTGGCGTCCAGTTACAATCGTACCAATGATGTACGCCTCTCTGCCGTAGCGTCTTGCAGGATTTGATGTCGTTTTGGTCATATTAGAAGCGAAAATACCGACCATGGCAAAGAGTGGACCAAGCAAGAGAAATACAGGCAGAATTTGGCCGAATGTCCACTGCTCCTCTTCCAATGCGACTTCCGGGCTCTTTAAGCGTATCGTATTTCGAGCGGCCAAGACTTTGACGGTTCCCCAAAGCAAAATGACAAATAACCAGTAAACCTTGCAGTTTTTCCATGTCAGTCACGAGTTCTATGGCATTAGTTGGAAAAGCCTCGGAAAAAATCATACCTCAAAGATGATTGAGCCAAATAGATCGCAACTCAACCGCACCATCAGAAACGTGGCCAAAGCAGGTCTTGTGACAATGCTCATTTTCAATCTGTCTCTCCAGCCGAGAGACATGATGGACCTTGGTTTTCCAAGTCGTAGTGAAGTCTTCTGTGCTAGCCTGCTTATTGGACTTCTTATCTGTACCCTGAATGCTGTAGACAGAGGCCGAAATAGTTTGAAAGATCGGGAAACAAATCCAAAGATGAGAAGTATGACGGACATGGCCATAGCCTGCTATTCTGAAGTTGTTTTGACGGGGCCACGAGATTCCCACGGCTTATTAACCGTAACCCCATGTCGCCAGTAGCCGTAACTTTGATTGAAGTAGCATATGGCCTGTGATGAAAAGTTGGCGCTATTGAAAAACCCAGTTGGTAGCAGTCCCACAACGACTAACACTAAAAGGGCCAACATCAGAGAAACCCGGACGTATTTTGCCCATGGAGTGGTACTAAGAAAACCTCTTAAAACATTCAGTCCTGAAAAATGTGTAACAGCGGAAAACCACGCTAGGTAAACGACGATCTGCCAGTGACAAGCATCGAGACCGCACTTCAACAGCATATAGCCGCTGACTAGGATTCCGATTCCGGTGACAATTTGAATATCGCACAGAAGAATGATTGCCTATGCCTCAGCGAGTAATGTCAGTACCAATCTCTTTGCCACAGTAATTACTACTTATCCTCACTTCATCGAACGCAGCTCGAAGTCGCTCGCGTGTGCCGGGCATCAGTAGCGACGGCTTTCGTAACCAGGCGATTAATCTTTTGTCAATCGGATTTGGCTTCCAATGGGGGTTCTCAGCACCTTCATGGGCAGTGATGCGGTTTTTGAACGGATTTTCGCTTGGGTCAAACGCCAGAAAGTAGCTGATAGTGACCAGCAAAAGAACGAGATAAGCGGTCCCGATAAACCCTACGAGTACCTAAAGGGCAAAGCATGAGCAAAAATGCAATAAACCTAAGTTACTCAAAATACGATATGGCTTGCTTACCCCTGTGCCCGAGATGTCTGCGTAAGGTTCAAGGGGGTCCCCCTTCAAGTTGTCGCAATCGATCGCATGACAGAAGCTAGCGTTCGACATCGTGTCGCGTGTTGGATTGGATTGCTGTTGATTGCAAGCAATTGATATAACTTAATGGGGAAGAATCAAGCCAAGCGAACGTTTGATATTGGCAAACAAAGAAAGGCTGATTGCCAGAGGACTGATGTTTCGTTTCACTACAAGAGCATCGCCGGAATCCTTGCGTGGAAAGTAACTTAGAGGTAATCTGGAGTCAATGATATAGTCAAAAGGAAAGCATTCACAGCTGATCAAAAGCCAGAGTGTCCATTTCGGAAAATCCGAGACACCTGTTCGACTGCCAATCATAGAGCCAATCCAGATAACACAGTATGATGTGATTCATGACGGGGGCTTGAGACATAATCCAAGTCACGAACCAAGTGCCTCCGAAGAGAGGTATGCGCAATCTGTGCATTGTCGTGTAGGGAAAATAGCGTGATTGGTGGAAGTAAGACATTACCTTTGCCTGGGGCTGCTGTTTCTCAGTGAAATACTGTTGGGTCACATACTGATTGTTTGGTGCAGTATTGGAGCTTTCTCTGTCCTTAGCACTTGAGCAGCGAAAGGATTGCGAAAGACACGAGGCACCAACTCGATAGAGATCTGGTCCTTTCCCCAATTGATAATGAATCTTGCCTTCCATTCTCTCAAATGTGAGCTCACCTGAAGTAGGATCCCCGATCCTCTCTTAGTGTCGGACAATCTTACACTTGGAAAGGCTAGAAAGTATCAGGTACCACTACGACAATCTCATAGATATGAGCTGAACTATTCGGGAGATCGTTGACGCGGCTAGTTGGTTTGGATAACGTCCATGCGGGTTGCAGGTTGAGTTAAATGTTTGGTGCATGGGAATGTCAGAACACGACGATAAGCTTTAGCCTCCGTTTCCACGAGATCGATGATAAAGTCTCACTTGTTGCATAGACCTTTACATGATATACTTTCAATGTATCGCCACAAAATACCATCCCTGTGCAAACGCAATAGTGTAATTAAGAGACGACTGAAAATGGAAGCAGTCTTATATTTAGCTAGAGTATCTCCGAGATTGGGTATCCATAATATGCGAATTGATTCTTTATTGATGTTCCCCCCCTCAACACTTGTCGCCAACCACAGCCTTAGCCTCGAAGACACCATCGTTGAAGGTGAAGTCCTTGGTATTTCCGTGCACGCAGTTGCAGCGGTAGTTGATCTGCGTAATGGTGGTTTGGAAGTTGATGTTGCTCAAGGTACCGCCCAGGTTCGTGCACTGGGATCCGAGTGCCGCTTCGACGTAGGCCGTCGTGCACTTTGGTGACCATGTTCCGTCCTTAGCAATGATGCAGCTTCCAGAGTAGCTCATTCTCCGGGGGTCGCCATGGGCTGCGGAGACAAGCGCAGGAAGAAGGACAAGGAGGTTGATGAGTTGCACTGAGTCAAGTTAGGTTTGTCTGTGATTGCGCTAGGCAAGAGGCTGAATGAATGCTTACTAGTTGCGGTTACTGTTGGATGTCAATTGAGTTATTGCCAGAAGAGGTTGAGGAGTGGTTCGGATGAGACTGCCAAGTTTAAATAAGGTGAGATGGGATGAGCAGATGGCAGCCCGGAACAATATGCCGATGATTACTTATTGCAATTGAGAACAGAGTTCAGCACCGACCTAGTTTGTTCGTTGGTAACTTCCGCGGATGCCGTAGGATGTCCCAGGTAATATCAGTTCCGGGTTGATTGACATGACATGTGGAGAGCAATTCAACTCAGCGCCTTACGGCGAGTCAGCGGCGGAATGACTGCAGCCTGGTCTGTGATTTTCTGCGGAAGGAGCTGTTGCGAAAGTGAGAAGCGCCCTATTTTTCGCGAGTGTTAGAAAGTGGATGCTTCGCCTCAAACTTTAACATATTAATTAACACAACTCTCACTAGGGACTCTGGGGACTTTCGTCACGAGACACGGCACAGACCGCGACGCAGACGACATGAATATAAATATCTCGGCATGTCCTCGTGAGCCGGACTACTCCGTGAGGAGAAGGTGAAGTTTAACTCAGAGAATGAACAATATTGGAGAATTCAGAGCAGAACCTTCCAACCAAAGCCACATTCGGATACACGAACAGATTGGGACAATGGTATCGTCTTCCAAAGAACCCACCGACTTCTACTCTTGTCAAAAAGCACGGTCTAGTCGCGCAAAGCTCAGCGACATCAGTCCTGCCGTACGTGGTCATGTTCTCTGTGCCTTACGAACGAAGTAATTTCTTCAATATCCTTTTGACGAATGGAACCTTCCTGTCTTCGTCCTCTTGCTCGGCGGAGTAAAAACGTCGGTCAGAGTCAAGGTCAATCGATCGGCTATCAAGCCAACGACGACCGCCATAAAAGAACTTGGCAGCGATATAGATGATGATGCCGACCGGTACCGAGACATAGGTCGAGAAGAAAGATTTCGCCGACGTCTCACCGTTGAAGGGCCAGACGGCCAGGTAGAATTGGACAATCGTCAGTATGATGCACCATGTTAAGCCCCAGTAAGCTGCCCATGGCCAAGTCTTCGTTCTCCATGGCAGGGCATTGACACTTCGTCCTTGAACTTTCCAGGCATGTCTCATGCGGATATGGGAAAGGCAGATCATCGACCATCCGAAAAGTGTAAAAAGCGAGACGAGACTTGACAACCAGCTGAAGACTTCCGCACCCGTGTGACTGGCGTTGAGATACGAGAGTCCACCGCCGATTAGCAGTGTCGGTGTTAAAGTATACCAAGGTCTTCCCCGCCGGTCTGCCTTCTTCATCCACTGTAACAAGACGCGATTAGTCAAAATTTCGGAAGCATACAAACAGCAGGACTCACAGATGGGGCCATGCCAATCTCAGACAGCCCAACGAGTGTCCGGGATCCCGCATACGCATTGATACTACCGGAAGAGAGAACCGAAAGGAATATGACAGCGTTCATCATATGGGCCAACGGCTCCAGACCGGCGTTCCTGAAGGCGATCACGAATGGTGATGCGTCTGTGGCATGGGCTCCGCTACCAAAGAGGTTCGAGTCGGAAGGGGACACGGTGATGGTGATCATCAAGGAGCCCATCAGATAAAACATGGCAAGGCGGAGTGCGATGGACTTGACTGCCTTTGGAACCGCCTTCTTCGGGTTGCTGAGCTCAGCTGCGACAAGACCTGTCGTTTCCGACCCAGACAGAGCAAAAATGCACACTGGCATGACAGTCAAGAAACCCCTGAAGCCGTTCAAGAACGGTGCTTCGTTCCAGTATCTAAAACCGATTGCCTCATGATTAGGTGCCCCGCCTGCTGAAATGACGATTGAGGCGATGATGACGACAAAGATCCAGCCGAACTTGATGGCCGCCATGACGACCTCAACCTCGGCGAAGACCGTAACTGCACCAACGTTGATCAGGGCGATGACGACCCAAAAAATTGAGATCCATGCGGCCTTGGGCACTGACGTGTTCCAGAAGGACAAAACGGTGACGATGCCCTGTAGCTCGTTGGCGACGGCAATCCAGTAGTTGAACCAGTAGCACCATCCCAACGCGAATCCAGCGGCTGGGTCCACGAATTTGTTCGTCCATTGGACAAAAGCGGAGGGGAGGGGGTACATCACGGCCATTTCCCCAATGGACTGTGAGACTGCCCAAACCATGGAGCTGGCTATGATGACTGGAGTTTTGGTTGCCCTAGTCAGCGTCCAAGTTGCAAGCAAAATTTGCCTAGAAGGGCTCACTGGGGAGGGCATTCAGACAGGACGTTGCAGAAGTACTCACATCCGATGAATAATGAAGCTGGACCACCCGCAACTAGCCCTTTGCCACTTCCGAGCCATAGGCCCATTCCGATCGACGAGCCTATCCCGATCATTGTGATATGCCGGTTTCCAAGTCTTCTTTGTAGTTGTGAGTCGGCGCCGTGGTCAATGTCAAGCATGCTGGTTTTCCGGGTCGACTCATTGTCGCGTCGCCCGACCTCAACATCCTCTTGAGTCTTCACCTTCATTGTCGACAGGTATCAATCTTCGATAGTATCACGAAAGACCAAATGACGTATCCTGTAGTTTGTCGATAATCTGGAGTTGGTCTGTCCAGGACTGGTCTCGGGACATCTGTCATTCGGATTGATGAGTTTTGAAACAGCTCTACTGCATGATGAGTGGTATGCGATAGCTTCGCACTTTGTTGCGCATCACCCGAGAACCCGTCTAGATAAAGGAGAGAGGGGGCGGAAGATAAGAGATACGGTTGTCAAGCACTAGGGGTCAGATAAGGGTATATCGATCTGGATCTGTCCGAGCTTTGCGGGGTTATAACTGGCGGGTATAGAGTCTTTCTGACCTGCTTCTCCTTTGACCGGGCCACGGCCCGAGGCGAGGAACCTGCCTGTGGTGATTTGCGAACGTTGATAAGAAGCAAGCCAGTTTGTGGGGACCGGAAGTTTGATAGGAAGGTCCAACTGTGTGGAGTCTATAGATAAAGGTTTAATTATCGTTGGGGGTCAGACACAACTTCATACTTCCGGTCTGGGTAAGGTTTACGGGTTGGACCTGCTTCAAAATTTCAGACCATGGACCTACATGAATCCCTCTTAGACAGTGAAAAAGAACACGCGGGGTAACTATCAACTGGCCAAGAATGGTCCGGTTTAGTTCCCTCGTCTCCAATAACAATCAACTGCCGCATCCGAAAATCTGGGGTAAGTCGGCCGAGCCCCCGCAATCAGCCGATTCAAGACCAACCGGGCAGGCGTGAGTTTCCTATCACATCCTGTTTAGGCAATCTGACCCCCACGTAAGCGAAAGTCACAGAGTCAGAGATGCGGGACTTCAGATCAGCAACCTCTGCAGGCGATGTCCTGCGACGCGTTTTCTTTTTCGTTTCCAACACGCTTTCTCGTGGAGGCCATTCTACTTGGATAACTCGAATCAGCTCGCAGCGCCGGCTCAGTTTTTGAAAACTTGTAGGTTCGCAACTGAGGCTCACATTACGATCGATTTGGTTCATTTGGGCGGGAAAAAGACAAGTATGGTTTGAAACAGTGACCCATTCTTCGAGTTGTCGCAAACAGCATTAGCATAACGCTTTGGGCCGCACTGACACGTTTGGCGGTTTTATGGAGGAGATCATCAGTATTGCAGCGATGAGGATGCTCAGAGATGAGCTGAAAGGCTTGTTGAGCTGGGCGGACATGATTGCGACCAGAGCCACAGAGGCTGGTGAGCAATCGTGCCTCAAATCCATGTCATCTTATGTGTTGTTACTCTCTTGCCCGCATCTGGTCTAATAGCTGTTGTTCTATTTCAAAAGTTTTGTTATTTCTTTGTATAATATTTTCACCTCTCTTGTTCTTTGGTATCCTCCTTGTTGTTATCGTCCGTATCCTTGCACCTATTATTTCTCTGCCTCTATTACCCCCGTCGCCCTTGCCTTCGTCTATACCCACTTCCCGCCCGGTTAGGAAACTTTATTGATAAGCCGTCCGAAGGTTTATATAAGTCTCGATGGGGAGAGGTCTCTGTGAAACCGGCCCTGAATATGTTGAGTAATCCCTGTTGTCCGTCCGGAACAAGACGGAATTCGCTTATCAAGCGCAGTCTCGAACACAATAATAACCCCCGAGGGAGCGCATGACACTGATTGGGTGTGTTTTCGTCTGAACATCATCGTCGGAACTCGTAAAACCAAAGCCCGCCGAAATCCGCTGAGGAACAAAGTAGAGTGCCGGCTTACTGTCAAGTTCCAGCCAGAAAACTAATTACTGATTATTGATCTGCTAGGGTACCGCAGATTTGATTGATGCGCGCGACCTTGTATGGCTTGCGGCTGGGATTCAAGTAGGTGGCTTGACCCACGATCAGTAATCACGAAGTGACCCAAGAGGCGTGCGTACGCCTACTCCTCTGGCAGAGTTGCAACTCACGTGAAAGAAGAACAATCAACATATAATTAAGCAGTGGGACATTGAAGCCTTTGTGTAAGTGTTCTCTTCGCATTCAATCTGCACGACTTATTTTCATCAAGACTTCAAAATTCCGACCAAACTACTAATCTTCTCAACATGCCTCTCTGGCTCATTTACCACCCACCTAACGTCTTCATCGACGACGAGACCAAACGCGCTCTTTCCAAGGACATCACCAGTTTCTACACCAGCTTTGGCCTTCCAGCTTTCTATGTGGTTGTTAACTTCATCAAGCTGCAACCCAACGATATCTGGGTGGGAGGAAAGCCCAGAACTAGCGATACCTTCATAAGAATCACCGTGGATCATATTGCTGTGACGCTTCCAAACAATGACGAAAGTTACAAACGCACCACGGATGGCCTTCACCAGATCTTGAAGCCGCACATCGAGGACAAGGGTTACGACTGGGAGTTTCATATCAATGAGACGGAAAGAAGACTTTGGATGATCAATGGGATGTACCCGCCGCAGTGGAAAAGTGAGGGAGAGAAGCTTTGGTTCGAAGAGAACAGACCGGTTGCGTTGGATCCATCGAAGTAAAGCCACGGGCATCTTCGCAGGCCAGCTGGTTCAGACACGACATGGGGCTGCCCCTGTCTACGGCCACGCGACCAGAAGCTCGAGCGAGGGAGAGATAATCAATGAAAACCGCCTAAATTTCCAATGTTTGCGAGGCTATGCCTTCTGTGAATCTAACTCCTCCGATGACGAGGACGATAATAACGACGACGATGACGGCAGTGCGTATAAGGTAGAAGCCGCGGGAAAAGTAGTTGCTCCAGCACAGAAGAATTCGGGCTATCTCTTATCTATGACAACCGGGAGCTATTCAAGTTCTTAAGGCATCTTGAGCCTCAAGTAATCTTCAGTGCTATGCTTCTCCCCACTCTCAGTCTCCTGACTTGCATCAATCTGACTCTCCTTGAGACCCTTGGCTGCTCTCTCACCCAAGGCTAGCAAACTTCCCATGCCAAGAATTTCAAGCACACTAATATCAAATCCGAATACTCCCTTCCACCAGCTGCGCATCTCCACCGCAACGAGACTATCTAATCCAGCATCTTGAAGAGACATTTTCGCATCAATTTCGTCGTCGTTCTCTGCAGGCTTCAGTAGAAGTCGGAAAAGCTGTCCGCCGATTTGTCTCGCCAAGAAGACAGGGGCTTCAGGGGATGAAAGAAGTAGGGGATCTGTCAACGTGGAAGTGAGAAACTTCTGGAGGGCACTGGAATTGACCGTGTTGACTTCTGTTACCCTCCTCGCACCATCGGAGTTGTAGTAAACAGTCATGCGGCTATCTTCCTTCCAGATCACTCTGTTCGATGGATCCAAAAGAGAGGTGAGGCTTCGATGGCCTAGTATAAGCTGCGATGGGTTGAAGAAGGTCCTTGTAGGGATCTTGCTGAGTTGAGGGATCGGCTGATTGACCAGGACTGAAACTGCGTCAAGCAGCTGTGGAATCTTCACCCCATACATGCCTTGGGCGGTGAGCTTCTCCATCGTCACAGGGTTCTCTGCGAGGTACCCGTAATCTATCATTGCGCCAACGTCAATAGAAGCAGCAGCCATGCCAAGGCTGTGTCTGTACTGAACAAAAGCATCGAGAAAGGTATTGGCCCCTGCGTAATTGGCTTGGCCCTTCTGTCCAACAATGCCAGAAATCGAGCTGAAGAGGAGAAAGAAGTCCAGTTCAAGTCCACAACTGACACAGGCATTGTGCAGATTCCATGTTCCCAGAACCTTGGGGTCAACTGCGGTGGTCCACTCCTCGTGAGTCATCTTGGTGAAGCCCTGGTCTCGCAAGGTCATGGACATGTTGATGACACCTCTAGTCGGCTTCTGGGAAGTCACGATGGCTTTTTCGACATCAGCAAGGCTTGTGATGCTGCCCTTCACTGCTGATATCACGCAGCCTTGATCTTCCAGCTCTTTGAAGAAGTTTTGGTTCTCCTCCGTGTCGCCACCTTGCCGAGAAAGATAGACAAAGTGCCTGGCACCGTGCTCGACCATCCAATTTGATACGAGTCGACCGAGACCGCCAAGACCTCCCACGATGAGATAAGCTGAGTCGCCATCAAAGCTCGATTGGAACGAAGGGCTACAACCCGCGGTCTGGATTGCGGACAATCCGTCCATTTTCAACACAATCTTCCCGATATGCTGCCCCTTTTGCATATGACGAAAGCATTCTTCAGCAGCGTCAGCGTCAAATGTCTTTATAGGACGCAGAGCGGTGACATGACCTGTTTCGTAAAGCTCAACAATCTTCTTTAGTAGCCTGATCACTAATTAATAGCCGTACTTTCACATGGCGTAGCGCTATTGACGGGACTTACCTATTGCCCTTTTCGGGCTTCAACTCGATCAAATGTCCCAAATCCACGCCATGATAGCTTCGATTCATCTCGAATGGATTCAAAGCAAGTTTCCCGTTGCCGATGAAGTCACGTTTGCCGATTTCTATCATTCTGCCAAACTCGGCGACGCAGCTCCAAGACGCATGTAGAAGCTCGCCGCTTAGTGAGTTGAGAACTATGTCAACTCCCCTTCCGCCGGTTGCATCGAGGATATCTGGAAGGAACGATGCGTCGCGTGACTGGAAGATGTGATCTCTGGGCATCCCAAATGTAGACATAAGATACTTAGCCTTTTCTTCGCTACCAACGGTGCAGAATATTTCTGCTCCAGCCATCTTGCAGATTTGCATAGCAGCTAGGCCAACCCCACCGCAGGTTGAATGAATAAGGACTGAATCGCCGGATTCAAGGCGGCCGACCTCAAGGAGTCCATGGATGACGGTCGAGAAAACGCACGGCATTGTGGCTGCGTCCTCAAAACTAAGAGAATCTGGGATTTTCACGCAGAGTTTCTCCGAGATCGTGATACCAGTCGAGAAGCAACCGCCGCCAAAAACAAAGACTCTGTCACCAGGCGCAAGGGCGCGGACATTCGGCCCAATTTCACGGACGACGCCAGCTGCTTCAAGACCCATGCGGCTGTTGGCTGAGTCAACGATACCCATAGCAATGAGGACATCCTGTCTTGTGTTAGGGACGTTGATCGCTTATCATTATCAATGATGATTGACCTACCTTGAAGTTCATGCCAGCAGCCTTTGCGTCTATAATGACCTCGTCGTCAACAAGTTCTCTCTTGTACCGCGGAACCCAGGAGAGTGTACTCAGGCGACCATACTTTGCAATCAGCAGGTCACAATCACTGCGGTCATTAATATCAGGCTTATCAGGGCCCTCGTCGTCCTTGTCGCCCTCGTCGTCCTTGTCGCCCTTGCCGCCCTTTTTCTGAGACATAAGTTGTAGCTCTTCGCTGACGTTGATAGGATAGACCCTCGGAATTTGTACAACATCGTTGTGGATGCTATACTCATACTCGGGCTGGTATTTGGAGTTATTTCGGTGCCGCTGGAACTTGGCAAAGACTTTTGCGATCGTCGACAAAGAGCTTACGCCATCAACCTCGCATGTTGCCAAGTCGAGGCTGAGCTCACTCCTGATAGAGCGAGTAGTTCCAATGGTCTGGGCCCACCTCGGGTCTGAACATCTCAGTTGAGATGATCGAGTCAGCCAGAAGATTCCAGTGTGGGACTTTGAAGCGGCTGCGATGAGGTCCTGGAAGCTGCTCAGTGCCGGCGCGCTGATGTTCTCGAAAAAGGGGGCCTCCATATCAAGAGTGGCAATGATCTCGTGGCAGTCGACAGGCAAGCCATCCGCAATGTCGTGAAGATTTCCCTCCAGATTCAGCCGAGCAAGCTCACGTTTCAGATCTGCTGCAATGACAGCTGAACAAGAGTCGTGTAGGATCCCGACAGCAGTCTGCGGTGTTAGAGCCGCTGCTGGTCTTGCAGTCATGAAAGCAAGCAAATTGTTCGGTCGTTCGGAGTCGAAGGCAACATTTTCCAAGCTATCAAACCCGGAAGCCCGTAGCTCCATATCCCATCTATCGGATAAGACATGTGGTTGATCAGGTCGTCCGTCGTCTGCCCCTAACCACCATCCCGGGAGAACGGACATGACGAAATTCATGGGAAGTGCGTCATGTGATAGTTCTTCCATGTAAAGCCTGCCTTCAGGTTGCAACAGCTTGCGAACGTTCATGAGGGTTTCTCTCAAGCTGGGAGTTGCATGGAGGACATTGGCAGCGAGAATCAGGTCGTACGATGCTGGCTCAAACCCCTGGTCGACGGGGTCTTTGGAGATATCCAAGGATTTGAAAGTCATGTTGGGGTACTCCTTGAAGCGCTCCTGGGCCGCGGAGAAGAATCCTGCCGAGATGTCCGTGTAGGTGTACTCCGAGTATAGCAAAGCGCCAGTCGGACCGCGCAACCATTCCAACACCTTGTTCGTTGTGCCGCCGGTGCCTGCACCGATTTCAAGGACACGAAGATTCGGTTTCGAATGGCCCAGAGCCTGAAACAGCGGCACTCTATTCGTGATGTTCAGGGAGTTGTACACATTCGTGAGAACGTTGTCAGGCATCAGAATTTCCAATGGCTCGGTCTCTCCTCGAAAAATGGCGACGATATTGTCGAAAACCTTCTGCATTGCCACCACAAATGATCCAAATGGCCCAAATTCAGACACGGTAGGCTTGAAGACTTCCATGTCGATTGATGTCTGAGGTGGTGGTTGCTTCTTCATCCAACTGTAAAACCTTGCCAGATGCGGGATCGTCGTTTGAACGTCCCCGAGCCGGCTCAGCGCTCCCTCAATGTAGTTCAGGGCGAGCTGTTGTGTTCCCGCGAGGTTTCCCTGGTTGGGGTGGACCTCTATAAGATCTGATATTCTCAAGAAGTCGACATCAGGCTGCCAGAAGATTCGCGCGGCTGCGTGCGGATCAGGATCTCCTTCGCTGGCGTCATTTTCTAACGGGCTCAGCTTCACCCCCTTGAGAGAGAGGACTAGCCCGCCGTCGGAGGTTACACCGTGGCCTCCTCCACAAATAAGCCCCCGAGGTGTCTGGCTTGTACTGACTTCCATATCGATCTCGGAGTCGGTGTTGAAGATCTCGAGGGACTCAATGAAGGTTGGGACGTTCATCTTGTCCAGACCATGGCCAACTCCATTCACCGCAGCAACGCTGAAAAGCTGCAGAAAGAAGTCGATCTTCGTTGGATGAAGGGGATAGAATGTCTCATCCTTAACTGTATGCATTGCCGTGCCATGAGACCTGTGGTTGGTAGGGGAGCAGGTGACATGGTGAAGCCCTTGAAAATACGGGCCATAATTGGCGCCCACATTTCGAAGGGCTTGATACCACCTTCCTGGCCCAATTACCCTGGAAAGCTTCGTGGGGGGCCCTCGTGTCCGCCCGTCAGCCTCTTCCAAAGCCTTAACTTGACCACTGCAGTGTTTCAACCAACTCGAGCCGTTATGAGAAGTGATTGTGAACTCCCACCACGAGCCGTCCAGACTATCCGTCAACCTCTCCTTCTTCAAACTTGTGATGATTTCCGTGGATTTACTGTCGGCAAGCACCATTGCCATGTCAATGACAACGTTGCGCATCGCAAATCCAGCGAAAGTTCCGTGATGAAGCTGTCTTGCCGCTTCTCCAGCCATGCCGACGTAGCCGGCACATGGGAAGATGACGTCCCCCTTGATGTTGTGGTCTCGCACCCATGGAACATAATCCAGAGTGAAAACATTACGGAAAACCGGCTCACTATGGCTGCTTTCAGGAACCCGGACACCAAGTAATTCGTGCTTGGGGTACTTCCGGAATCTCCATTCATCGGAGATGCGGCTTGAGAACAGCAGAGAATGGTCGTGTTGCCAAGGATAGGTCGGCAAGTCAGTGACTACACGGGCATTGCCGTTCGGATTCGTGAGCCGATTGAAGTCAACGCTCACGCCTTGCTGCCACAGCTGGCCCAGAGCTGTCAAAAGGCTTTCTGTGGAGTCCATTGACCGGACAAGACAGGTTGCATACGAAAGCTCGAGAGATACTTTGGTCAAAATTTGTCGCAAGGGGCCGGCCATGGCTGAATGAGGACCAATCTCAAGGAACATGAGCTTACCACTGCTTTTGCTCTGATGCTCCGAGACTAAGCTCGTCACAGCTGCATCAAACAAGACAGGAGACTCAAGGTTCGATCGCCAGTAATTGGCGTCAGTCGCTTCGTCCTCTGGCAATCGCATGCCGGTGACCGAGGAGAAAAACAGTGGCTCAGAGTCTTCCGCTTTGATGTGATTACTCATGTAGGAAGAGGTTAACGACAGGTATCGCTCGCCTACTTCTTGCATGTGATGAGAGTGATACGCCTTCTCGACCTTCAAAAGTCGTGCCAGAACCTCGGGGTGGGCGGCTCGAATCTCGGAAAGAACGTTTTCAACCCGTTCTGCGTCTCCAGAGATCGTCACGCTTGAGGGAGAGTTCTCGCACGCGATGACAACACCAGGGATCAGGAAAGGGGCCGTCTTGGCTCGACCCATCCCGACAGCAGCCATCGCGCCGACTTTGGTAACTTCCGAAGACGCAATACCCCGGTAGTACGCTGCAATGATCGCCTCGTTAGCAGTGAGTCTTCCAGCGGCGTAAGCTGCCGCCATTTCTCCTGATGAATGGCCGACCACTGCAAAAGCTTGGATTCCGGCTGCCTCATACAGTGCGTCCACCAGTGCGACTTGGACGGCAGTGCAGACAGGCTGGGAGAGATAGGCCTTGTGCAAGTTGCTGATTTCTGCAGGCTTCAGGAGCTCATCGACCAGGGTCCAGGACGGACTATCAGGTAGAGCGCTCAAGACCTTGTCCATCTGTCGCATGGACTGGGTGAAAGTTTTGTTGCTCTGCAAGAGTTCGGCACCCATACGAGGCCATTGTGCACCTTGTCCAGTAAACACGAGCACAAGATCGGTTGAGGACGGAGACGTCTTGGAAAATGGTGATGTGAATTTCTCAGCTCCATTCTCCAATACAGAAAATGCTCGATGAGATAGATGAATGCGCCTCGACGATAAGGTGTACGCAATATCATCAAATGAGTCATCGTGTTGGCTGATGTACTTCTGGTTGTTGACGACTTGGCGTCTGAGAGAATCTGCGGTATTGGCTGAAAACACCATCAAGTGTGCTTGTCGTCTCGGTATAGTTGTCGTCTCGATGTTGGGCGGCAATGACGTCAGTCCGAGGAAACTCGCGGCAGATTCAATAACCACATGGGCGTTTGCGCCACCAATTCCGAAAGAGTTAACAGAGACCCGCTCAATACGGTCCTCGGGCCAAGGCGTAGGAACAACAGGTACTTTGAGGCCATTCCTGTCGAATGGAATCTTGGGGTTTGGAGTATCGAACTTGATGTTTGGCGGGATAGTCCGCTTCTCGAGGGCCATGATGGATTTGATCAACGAGGTGATCCCGGATGCTCCCTCGGAGTGACCAATGTTTGGTTTGCAAGATCCGATGTAGATCCCGGAAGTACCAAAAACCTTCGAAATTGCTGTTGTCTCAATTGGATCACCTGCAGCTGTGCCTGTGCCGTGGCATTCCACGAAGCCGGTGTTAGGGATGTCGGAATCGTCAATAGTCGCCATAGCATACGCTCGTCTGATCATAGCCTCATGGCTCTCAAAGCTCGGGATAGTCAGACTGGGCGTCTTTCCATCGGCGTTGCTTGAGGTTCCTCGGATCACAGCGCGGATCGGGTTTCCGTCACGAATAGCATCGCTGAGTCGTTTCACATATACGACGTTAACGGCCTCGCCACGGGCGTACCCGTCAGCTCCAGCATCGAAGGTCCGACAAGATCCATTCGGAGAAAGTACTCCTTGCTCAGACATGCTCACGAAGAGACCCGGAGCCATGATGAGGTTCGATCCGGCAACAATAGCAGCGTTGCACTGACCATTATTGATAGACATGCATGCTTCGTGTAGGCCAATGAGAGCCGAAGAACAACCAGTCCTGATTGTCATGCTGGGTCCCTTAAGATCGTACTCATAGCTAAGACGGTTCGAGAGCATGAAGTCACCATAGCCAGTGATCTTGTACTGGCCGACAACCTCGGTGTCTTTGGTGAGGGTCTCGAGCCAGTCCTCGCCGAAGCAGCCGACGAAGGTGCCGACCGTCTTGCCTCGATAGTCCGTCTCACCAGCGCTCTCCAAGCACTCTCGCGTGAGTTCAAGAAGAAGCCGTTGCTGAGGATCGGCTCGCTCGACCTCTGTCTTAGGCATCCGGAAGAACGTTGTATCTAGTGCAGCCAGATCAACAGATTCGTCTAGGAAGTACCCATACTGGGTCTTCATATGACCCGGCTTGCCAGACTCAGAGTAGTAGCTGAAAACGTTGAACCGTGACTCTGGAACTGGTCCACGGGCATCCTTCTTGTTGATGAGGAAATCCCAGAATTGTTCTGGAGTCGCGATGCCTCCCGGGAGTCTCAGAGCCATCCCGCAAATGGCGATCGGCTCTGCTGCGCCCATTGAGCCATCTGCCCACGAAGACTGCCCATTCACCTGGAAGATCAGTTTCAAAATATCATTCTGTGTGAAAAGTTCCACGACCCACCTCGGACGTATCCGTTGAGGCATCCATAAATGGGGCCATAGTAACGTTCAAATTCTTCTTTTCTCTGATATGCTGTGATGGACTGTCGGGAAAGATGTCTGCAAGAAATGAAGAGTAAACCGGTTGTTGAGAAGAACCCTGTTATTTGAAGTTCGCTAATAAGACGTGATCTGGTCTTAAGGAATCCAAGATGCAGCCTCCGTCAGTCACCGCAACCTCTATTTACTAAATACAGACTGGTTAGACTTGGTGAGTCAGGGGTATCCAATCCAGGGGCGTTGTGCCTCTTGTTATCAGCACTAAGTACAAACATTGTCTTGGACATTGATAATATGCCAAGCCGACATTGGATTCTACCAGCCTCGATGCCACGATGCATGGGAAGCTGAATCGACTATTGAGCGGCACAGGGCATGCTGCATATTCTCGGCTATTTGATATGCCAATTCGTAGACGATCATGAATCCAACGTCAGCTGTGGCTGTCGAAACATCTATCATGTTATCTTAAATAGCCTTTTGTGAAGATCTGGGCACACGTCAGCACAGCTGAGAAAAACATTGGCATGCGCCGCATTAGTACATACCAAACGGCCAATCTCAACGCTCTCGCTTCGGGCCGTATTCGATGGGTTTGAGTGATGACAGCGCACTCTATCTCGTTGCAGTCCGAGCCAAGACCACGGCCTGGAGTCTTTCTATCCGGGCGGATGCTTCTAGCTAACCGGGTGGGCACTGGATATACGGCGATAGGGACGATCGACGATATTAAAGATAATAACGACGACGACGACGACGACGATAATAACAGGGAAAGATAGGAGGATAGGAACAGCAACTATAGTAGTAAAAGTTAATCGAGATAAGATAAACTATTAGGCCTAATATAGGTAGTTATCTGCCCGTTTACCTAGTAGTATCCGCCCGGATAGCAAGACTCACGGCCTGAGACCCCGTGCTGCTCTTCAAGCAGTTTCCACTACACCTGCTGCACCTTCACATAGCCGACTGCTTGACCAGATAAGGCCATGGAAGCGGGTGAAGATCGCAATGGGTGCAATTGTGTGATGGGACTTTGGTCTTCAAAGGTTCTCCAAGATACAGTAGCTCGAGCGGCACAGAACGTATGTAATCGGAGGATTGGGGGGCTATCAGAAGAATCGGGATCTCAACGGGCTAGCGGCTCGGCCCCCACGACCGTTTTCGGTAACACAGAGTACCGTGCCGCATCGCCGTGTGGTGGGTCCGAGCCGGTCAAAGTCGGAGGCGGCCGCCCATGATGGGGCACCGCGGCAAATTTCTGCCCACGAGACATGCAAAGTCTGCCCCAAACACTATCAAGGGGATCCAAAAAGGAACGAAATTCTGGACCTGATCCGGTCATTCCGCTCCGTTTTCGACTTCGTCAGCTATGTGCATGTTTGTGAAGCATCCCTCGATTTCCAGGCGAGATGAGGTGTCAGGGTTCGAATGATTGACAACTGGCCAGAGAAAGCAACTTGTCGTTGAGAGCCCTATGGCAATCGACCGTTAGATCTGACAGATATCGTAATTGGATGCAGTACGCACCCGATCACCCACATGCAGCTGACGCAACGCTCCCCCAAAGTCCCTCCGGCCCCGACTTCGTACGGAAAGGACCAATCGCGTCGGCAAACGTATCAACGTTATGTCTCATTCAAAAGAAAGCATACATCCTCCCCTCATCAAAAGCTGCGCAAAAGCCCGAGCGCTTACGGGTGGAGGCGGTGGCCTCGTGGTCGGGCGCACAAGTTCCATCGCACCCACCACCGGTTAACCGCCAAGTACCGCTGCAGCAATGAAAAACGGAACAGATTTGCAGAAGGACCATCTCATGTGAATCATGATATATGCAGGAAAACGCTCTCAATAAACTCCAGTCACCGATACTCCGAAGCAGGGGTATAGCCCTCGTCGTCCTCCTCTCGCTTCCCGACTCGCCCCCTTACCCAGCCCCCTCGGGTCAGAACGGCTTCTGTCCGCTCCAAAAATGCATCTTGCCGTATGCATGGACGTTGGGATCTCTCATAGCATTGCGGCACTCAGCAAAAAGAACCTCCATCTCCACCTTGCTCCATCCAAGCAGCTCGAAGTGAATCGCGCCAACCACTGGGAAGAACTCTTCGCAGGCCGTGCGGTAGTACATGCCAACCAAGCGCATCGTCCTGAGCAGGCAAGATTAGTCAGAGGCGCATCCGAACCGTCCGTAAAACGAGTGCATGACACTTACTTATCTCTTGGCCAGGTGCCATACGGCAACTTCACTGTATGGTGCTGAATGTTGACGAAACCAGCCTCCTCGAGATATTGCCTTCCAAACACCGCGGCGTGGGAGTTGGTCCCAAACTTGGCAAATGCTTCTACCAGGTGGTTTGTGAAGCGGACGAGAGGCCAGTCTGCTGGCATCGTGCCGTCATCGCAGTGAACTTGACCGTCGACGTCTTGAAGCTCCACCCAAGCCCCTGGCTTCATGTGTCTGCGGTGATGTTAGTCTCTGGAGACAGATGCACTTTGGCGGCAGTTCTTACTCATAAGCGTTCTTCAACAGGCCCACCGGAGACTTTAAGACTGGAACCATGTTGCGCAGGTGAACAAAGTCAAAGTCCCTCCCATTCAACCAACTGTCTTCAACATCATCCACTAAGAATCTCACGTTCGGCGGCACCCAGACAGGTTGGATCGGGCTCAGGTCGAGACCAGTGACTTCGGCACTGGGGTAAATATCGCCCACTAGGATTTTGTTAGCTCTTCGGCCCCTTGCACCGCAGCTTATCAACGCTGGAACGCTTTCTTTCGAAGGAAATACTGACTTTCGATAGCCCAGATACCTGTCCCGGTACCAAGATCAATGATCTTTGCAGGGTTATCAACGATGGGCGCGAAGAACAGCCTCCCGTCCGTAACCTCCAACATCATGGCATGCAACATATCCTCGCGGTTCTGCTCTGTCTCGTCGTTGGGAATAGGATAGCGTCCATGGCGAAACTTGTGATAGCGCCGGCCGTTCTTGAAGCTGTGCTCGTAGACGCTCGACTTGAGCGACGTCGAATCGGTCTGGTCGCTTACAGACTCTTCGTCGAATACGCTGGGTTCAAACTCGTTCTCATCGTCTGTGCCGCCAGCTTCCAAAGGCTCTGGTTGGACTGGGATTTCGGCGGGGACGGGAGCTGGCGCCGGCTCGGGCGACGTCGATGTCGCAGGCGGGATGGCTTCGGCTCTGGGAGGTGCTACGGATGTCTGGTCGACGTTGGAGCTCGAGACTACCGGTTCTGTAGAAGCTTTGGTAAGGTCAACGCCTTATTATCCTCAGAAGAAGCTTCCCATTCTCAGGCGCAACCTCTCTGGCTGCGCAATGGGCGCACAAAGTTTCGACATACCTGCAGCCTGGCCACGACGCGGGCTCCCGTGAGGACTACCGCTAGGGCTAGCGGGCTTGCTTCCCGTGCCCATTGTCTCCTATCACGTAGCTTCAGCAGAAGCGCATGCAATTTTCGATCGCGATGTCCGGGTTGTGTCGTCGCAGACAGTGGGATGTGGTCGTGGGAAAGCTGTCTGATGTTGTTCACAGTTGAGCTGGCGGAACGAACACGAGCAAATGGCAACAATTTTGGTTGCGACGTTGCGTCGTAATCAACTGTTTTCGCTTCGACAGCTCTTAGTACCTCAATCCCGGACAGTCTTGATTAAACTTTCGTCGGACCATAAGCCGGCCTGGCACGAACGCGGGAAGTCGGTTCGAGTCAAGTCAGTGGAGGCGGGGTTCGCTGGGCGGTGGCCGGGTGCGCTGAAGGGCCCAGGCCTCGTCTTGCGCTTTTCAGCAAGCTTTACTAGCTCAGGAGCAGGGCTGAAAATGGTTCAAGATGTTGCTGGTATGATCCTTGTTCGCCAGAAGCTGATGGTTGGGAGGATTGGGCAATGAGGCGTTCGCGATCTTGATGTAGGGATGAAGAAAGAGAGACAAGACGGAGATCTGAGGAGGGAGTTTGACAAGAAAACCGGGAAGCTGGGCCCTTGAGAAGAGTCTATGACCATCTCGACCGCCCGCTGAAGGCCCTGGGAGCGATTGCCGAGCTAAGACAACAGACACAAGAACTAGTGTCTGGAATAGCGCGCCCAGGACCGGCAAGGTTTTCGCGGGCATGTCTCTTTTCTTCTTCTGTCTGGACTGACTGTGTCGCATGCATAATACGACAGCCCAATATGACTTGACGTGTTGCACTCGGATATGTGATCGCGCGCTATTCATCTCCCTCGCTTGCGTCCTCGTGCTCGTCTACCACACCCATGTCTGACAGATTCTGTCACTTATATCCTAGCGAAAGCTTCGAAGAGGGGAATCACGCCATGAGAACCCCATTTTCTGTTCTTTTTACTGTCGTTGACCATGAATCTAACATGCATTGGCGTGGGTCTCTCCTCAGTCGTATCGGCTCCACGACGGAAACTGGAGGGCTGGGTGGCGCTCGTTGGGTCTCAAATGGGCCGTCGAAGCCGCTGCCGCCCATTCCAAGTGCCCGGTTAGCAGGCACTCAGGTAGGGCAACGGGTGATGGACCCCTGTCACTTCGTGCATCCCTTGCCCTGTCTCTGACCCATTGGTTACCTGACGGCTATGGATGAATGTGCCGGATGAATGCTGCTTAAGATGAGCTGAGAAGAATCATGATCACGTCCACTTTGGCTTCACAGTCCCGCGCTAAATGCCCCGTGTTCTAAACAACGGAAGCCCCTCATCCCTTCTCGAGTTTGGACATCAAGCTCCGGGCCGTCCCTGTCGATCCATCCCCGTATTTGACGTGTTCCCACGTGTGGTAATGATATGTCATTCTACAAGATGCAGCAGACTACTTTGCACAAATGTATCGCGAAATCAGTTGCAGATCCTTGCGACAGATTGAAAGCCTACAATCCCTCTATCGAGGCGGCTCAGGCGGACCCACGCTCTAGATGTAAGCCGGCGCCTTCGTCACGGAGTTGATGGAGATGCACCACAATTGGCCGGGCCATCGCAGGGGGCTTTTCTGGCTGTAACTTGCCCTTTTCGGTGGCAGCGGAGCAGAAAAAGCAAGCATCAAGAGGCGGCCGCGCTCCCGCGTACGATCCGCGGTCGCACAGAATTGATTTTCGATATTTTGTCTCACTTCTCGATTTCCTTCCTGCTGTGCCACGTCAACATCCTGCAGATATCTATCAACAGGCGATGGGGGGCGAGATCTTGAGAAAAAAGCAACGAAGGGGCAAAAACAAGGTCCGTGACATTCGGCAAAGCACTTGAACAGCAATGTAGCACATCACATTTGACATGGCAGTCCACTATTCTTGTCATCTTACAAATGACCCCTCCAAAAGCTCAATCTCATCCACCCTCGCGTGTGCCAGAGCCACGCGGGGAAGCGAAGGGAGCAGCCGCTGGTCGGCGTTTTGCCAAGAACGGAGGTTGCTCCGGCCCTAAGGCAATAGAGACATTTCCTTTCACGCCGCGGTCGCTAATCCTAGATCATCTCGCATGGCGCATCGGTGACGGCTTCTTCTGGGGTCGTTGCAACGTTTCGAGAATGGCAGGCGTGTCGGTGAGACAGCAGGCACCCGACGAACGCGGACTCACACACGAGATTCTGTTGGTATGCAACAGATCGCTGGTTATTGCATTCTGGCTGATGTGTTGTCCAACGTGTCAGGGGCATCGCCCATTATCCGTTTCGCCGTGACTGTATAGCATGTAGTTTCTGTTTCGGTCCCTACCCAGGGTTCGGCCTCCGGGCCTCGCCTTTGATGTCGTTGCTGACGCCTCCACCTTAGTGCGCCCTTCTTCAAGTGAGCCTTACCTCTATGGTTGCCTCTTCACTGCTTCTTCTCAACCATGCAGCTACTACTGTACATCAGCCTCTGTCTAGCGCCACTGGCATCCACAGAAGGAAGCAGGGAGAGCCTCCGAGCCAATCTGTTCCATCAATGCCAATGGCCAGAGATGCTGCGCTTGTGGTAGGCTGAAGTAAGCCCGCGTCTGTATCGCAGTACTTTCGGGACAAATCAGTGGGACCCCAGAGCCCAAACCGAAGATCCTTTGAACTGCTTGAGCTTGAATACATTGATGCCGCCGGTGAAAATATGGAGAATGAGCTTTGCAATCTAGCAAAGTGTGATACAGGTTGATAGCAACAAGGACGATAAAGGCGATGATGACAATGATTATCCTTGTTATAGTGGTCAAGGCATTAGGAATGAGAGTGATACGATCACGGCTTGTCAAGGCTTCGTCGTCTTCTTGAAGACTTGGCAGAACGGAGAACCTCTCATACAGTTTCGCCAGTCTATTTCTGTGCGTTGCTGATTTGGAAGCCAATCCGTACATGAGAGTATCTCTACATATCCGCCAAATGGACCGAGCCATATTTCACTGCTTCAGATATCAATCTCCAGTATCCTAGACCGGTATGCCACAAGCGTCTCAGGGTCCGGTACGAACCGAGCCTTGGCCGCGCTCTTGGGCTTCTCCCCAACAATGTCCCAGTCGTACTTCATCAGCAGGTGGATGAGCGCAATCTTGATCTCGTTGCTGGCGAAGAAGCGACCGGGACAAGCGTGCTTTCCGTGTCCAAAGCTCAGGAACTCCGGACTTGTACTTACGAATTGCCACTTGTTCTCCTGCCCAGGCAGCTCTCGCATACGCAGAAACCTGTACCCATCGAAGTCATCGGCATTTGAGCCAAAGATTTCCTTGTCGCGCATATGGAGCGTCGGGATCGTAATGTGACAGCCCTTGCGGATGAGGGTGCCGTCGGAGAGTGTGACATCGTCTTCCGCATAGCGATTCATCATGTCTGCCGATGGTTAAATTCTATGCATTTTACTGATAGTACGGTCGAGGAGGTAGAGATCACAGCGCTTAAAGATTGACTTACTCGGGCCAAGGATGTTCAGACGCTGACTCTCCTTCATAGAGCTATCCATGAGTTTCAACTTGTAGAGGCTAGTCTTCTCCCAACCTCCGTCCTCGTTGTAAACTCGGATGATCTCCTCACGGAGCAACGGAATATACTCCGCATTCGAGATCAGGTCGTACATAGTCGCCGTGATGACGCTCGAAGTAGTGTGGATCGCAGCCACAGTAAGGAACAACTGTCCGCAGACCACATCAAAAGACCGATCTCCTCGCACATCGTCTAGCCACGACAAAGAGTCCTGTGGCTTCTTCACATCACCCCGTGCGGCGCGGCGAGCAGTCAGCTCGGGCTCGATAATCTTCTTCGAGTCGCGTACAAGCTTGCGCAGATAGATCATCTCGGGGAGGAACCAGTGTACGACATGTCTTGTGAACACAGGCCACGTCCGTAGGCGTTCTTGGGCTCTCATCATCACGACCGTAAAGCGGATGGAGATTTCGATCCACTCCTGGCTGTGGCAGAGTCTCTCGCCCAAGAAGACGAGTGCCGACAGTCGGGCGGCTATGTTCGTTGCTCCCATGATGAACTTTGTATGCTTCCAGTCTTTATCTTGTGTCAGCTTCTCGGTACTAGGTATGTTGCGGTGATTTCGGGGCGCAGCGACGAACCTTTGGCGGCCGGAAGACTTTCGTCAACTACTGAAGCACATTCCTTGGACAACGACTCGGTCATTCCACCCAATGCCTGAGTAAGATTCTTCCTGACCGTGTCTTGGATGATGTCGCCTTCGAGCCCTGTGTGGAGGAAGTCAAGACCTGGGTACTGAACCATGCCTTGCTGCAAGTTTCCAACCCGAGTAAGTACGATGAGCCTGTTCCAAATGAAAGAGTTTTCGTACCCGCTCAATGAACCCGCGGAATGACAGCCGGGGGTCACTCCGAATCTCGTTGGCAAATTCCTTGGCGAGCACAATGGATGGGCCAAAGTTACTCAAAACTTGGAAAGGGCGTCCGTTGAGCTGTGAAGGGGTTTGTTGGTATAAGCTCTAAAACTTGGAAGGTGCTGGTCTCACTTTTGCTGTGCCTTCCTCCAAGATGTCGAGCGCCTCATTGTCCCATCTTTTCCGAGTTTTCGTGTAGAACCAGTCTTTGGGTGCTTTCCCTATCAGGGGGAAATCCGGGTAAGGCCCGTCTTCTCTGAAAATAAAGTGCAGAAGGAGGTACAAAATGCCGATGCTGACAGTGACTGTGAACTCAGGCCTAGAGGCGTATTCCAAAATTGACGACATGACGGAATTCCGTAGAAGACAAGAAGAAGAAGATGGTGGGTAGTTCAATGATGCAAGTCAAGGGCAATGGAAGTATGAATGTAGTGCCGTTGATGCCAATGGTCTTATAAGAGTTGGAGGTTCTCATGTAAAACATCCTCTTGTATCCCATTCCCGCGCTGTCGTTGATGTTGGCGGAAATGGCAGGGATGCTCGTATTCTGATATGCGAATCCGGCAACTTTCCTGAGCTCTGAAGTACTAAGGAGGTGGGGAATGATTCGTGGGATGACCTACCATTCCATCCTTATTGGCCCAGTATTTGTCCACTGTCAACTTTTCCTAGAGCTGGCCACAGACCACGGACCACGGACGGCCTTTTCGTCCGAACGGCCTGACTTGCACGGCTTCCCGCCGGTTCCGGGCATCTCAGGGAGTCCGTGAGGCTATGTCAGCTCATCAAGGGGGATAGGCGTGTCCTCCACGTTCCCCGACGGCAGCGCCATCAGCCTTGATCACACAGGATGCCTAGGACGTCTATATAATGGGACGCCACCCCGCACACCTTCGCAGCTCACTGAAGTCACACCTTCATCCCATACGGACAACAGTTCACGGTTCACGATCGGTTCACGATCCACAGTTACACAGGCTGAAAGGCATAGAAGACTTCATGTTCTTTTAGTTCTCAACACTATGTAGGTATCATCATGATATTACAGAATATGTGCTTCTAAGCTGTTTTATAAGCATCATCTAAACAACGTGGTCATCGCCGTGAGAGCAGCTCTTAGCGTGCTCAGCCTGCTCAGCAGCGAGAGCCCACTTCTGGAACTCGCGGCGGATAGCCTCACGGCTGCGGCGGGCAGGCGTAGTCTTCCTGCGACGGGGGAGACCCGCGGGCAGCTCATTGGCGAAGTCAGCGGCAACACGGGCAGCGGCCTTGGTGTTGATAGTGATGGCGTCCCAGTTGATGTTGTCGAGGGTGTCGCAAGCCAAGTGGTAGCAAGGGTCGGTCGGTTCACCGGCGCCTGTGAAGATCCCACTACTCGGGATTCCAAGATTAAGGAACCCCACATAGTCTTCGTTTTGTTAGCATATCAACTATAAACAAGTTTTCACTCTAGAAAAGTGTGCGTACCGGAGCTGCTGCCAAAACCACCGAAAGCGGCGGGCTTGCCCTGGGCGGCGATGTAGTCGTGAATGGGCTGGGCGCCGAACTTGTCACCCTCGTTGTCGCCGAGGTAGACATTGTAGACGGGATTGATGGAGCCAATCATATCGTAGTTCCAGTAAAAGCGAATGGCGTCGGCCTCAGCCTCGGACAGCTGAGCGGTGTAGTAGAGAGATCCGACGAGACCGCTCTCCTCGGCGCCCCACCAGATGAAGCGGACCTTGTTCTTGAAGCCCGAGTACTTCTTGAAGGAGCCGGCGATCTCAAGGAGAGCGCTAGTACCGGAGCCGTCGTCGTTAACACCGGGTCCAGCCTGGACAGAGTCCAAGTGAGCACCGAGGACAATGACGTTGTTGGGGTCGCCCTCCTTGGTCTCGGAGATGATGTTCCAGGTCTCGCGCTCATCCCACTCGGCATCAACGAGGAGAGTGACCTCGAGGGTCTCGCCGGCCTTGAGGCGCTCTTGCCAGGCGGTGGCAACCTCGAGAGGGATAAGACCAACGGGCACCAGCAGGCCCAGATTCTCGGCGCTCAAGGTGGCAGAGCCGATGTTGGTGCCAGGAGTCTGGTTGTAGAGAATGACACCAACGGCACCCGCAGCCTTGGCGAGCTTGAGCTTGTCCGAGATGGCGCAGACACCGCGCTTGACGAGCGCGAGCTTGCCGGTGGCATCGATACCTTCCCACTGGTCGGCGAAGCAGCCAGAGCCTGCGCATTTAGAGTCAGCTTGCGATTATGCAGTTGTACGGTGATAGTTCTCTTACCTCGCTCATCATCGACGGGGGTGTCAATGAGGGGTGCGGTGTCGCCGTCGGGGAGCGAGGTCGGGTGGTTGTACTGAAGGGCTACGACGTAGACATCCTCGGCGTCGGGACCAGTGACCTTGATCTCACGAGTTTGAGCAAAGGTGTGGTTGAAGTACTGAATCTTGGTGTCAAGCTGCTTGTGGAAGCGGCCCTGGACACGCTCGAGGATGTAGTCGGACGACGCCTTGTAACCCGGAAGACCGAAGGCACGGTTGCCGCCGTTGTCCTTGGCAATCTTGTTCAGGTTCCAGAGGTTGCGCTCGAGTCTGGGGAGAACGCGTTAGAGCAAGTTCAAACACACCAATTCAAAGGATTGACACTCACTCCGTGGTCAGAATGTCGGCCTCGGCCTTGTCGGCGGTGAGGGGGTCGGTCGCGAAGGACCGCAGCGCGAAGAGCGCCGCGGCGAGGGCGGAGGTGGTCTTCATCGTGAATGAGGAAGCTATTCCCAAGTTCCAATTGACGGCACAAGGTGAATATTTGACAAGCTTCGGATGGATCCCAAGGAGCAGACTGATCAGCTAACTAGAGCACTGCACATGGACCCGGGCGAGGCCAGGACATTTATGTTCTCAGAGGCCCATGCCGTCTGGGCATGCCAAGAGGTTGCTCGCCGTGCAGGCGTAATTGCGCGATAAGACGACATCCAGTGACAATGCAGTCAGAGTTGGGGAGAGCTCCGGCTCGCGTGGGTAGCAAGGTTGTGCGCCGAGAAGCTGTGGCACCGCGAGATCCAATTCGAGGAAACGTACATCACAGCGCCACATTGACATCCCAAGAGGCTGGTCCCTGAGAATCTTGCTCGTTATCCCAGGTGCTGAGGCATCGATGCAGGCCGGGCGATGCTACCTCGGGCAGGTGAACGACGTCGGGTCGTCTTGGCAAGGACTTTTGCGAGGGACAATTGCGAATGTTGGTCCAAGAGTGAAGGATACGGTTGGCAATGCCGTTGTTGCTAGGACGCGGAGAGAAGGTCGGCTGCCAGGGGGGCGAACACAAGAAATGACAATGGGCGGAGAAGATCCCGGACAAGGGCAGCTCCTAGGCCACGGCGGCTTTTTCCTCTCTGGCGCAGTGGATCATCGTTGCTTCATCAGGCAGGTGCCAAGCCTTAAGAGAGGGGAATTTTCGAGTAGTGGCTGACGAGCATGCCAAACGGTGCTAGGGTGTCGTTGTTTATTCGCAATAACGTTTGGGGGGCACACCGTGATGAGGTCGGTGCTTTACATGACGATGGACACAATAGGGTGAAGGCACAGCCTGAAAAGTAACTTTCAAGAAGTTGACTCTGGCAGACAGAAACTTCATCTTGTAGACATGCTTTCGAACTGACTCGTCTGAGCAGAATGGATGAAGAAACGCCCCGTTGAACGCCTCGCGAGAATGCGTGTTTTCACTGCAGGCCTGCTCGTTTAGGTGCCTGCATGAGCACTGCATGTTAAACGTTGCAGTGCAGCACCGCCAAGAGACGACTCAACAGGCGAGATCGCGCCACCACTGAGAGCTTCATCCCAAGAACCCTCCATCTTATCCCGCCCCCCGCGGAAGGAAAGCGATCGGTTCGTATGAACCGATGAGAGCCGTTTCAGCAAACATGATCGTCTTATTGGCTCCCCAGCACTCAATGCCTCGTGTGTTGGTCACCAGCATCGTTCTCACTGTCAAATTGTGAGCTCGTTGTCAGCATTGGCTACGCGATTGAGGCGCTGGGCCAAGACGACGGGAAAAGAATGTGCTAGTCAATCGGGGAGGCGGCATACACTTGGCAAAAAACAAGACGCAATCAAAATTCTGGGCAAAGCGGAGAGGTCTTGTTGATTGATAGATATGAACCCTTGTTTTTTTGTATCGGCCGTGCCTCCAGTTGCTGGTCCTGGTCTCGGCGTCGGCGCCGGGGTACAACCCCGCATGAGTGGGATACCGGACCGGCCATTTCAGTGTGCGGTAGTGAAGACCGTCCTGCTCTTCAAGTACCAGCAAACTCTATGAATATCATTAGGCTGCCTGGTCTCGCTCCTGAATTATGTGAATGGAATTCCAATACGTATAGTTACAATAATGCCTTTCGGTTTGGTCAATTATCCGCTTGTAGTACTGTGCAGGACAACCCCCTAGGAATTTGTTTTTGGGCGCGCTCCCAAAGTTGCGGTCATCCACATCATCAATAACTTCAAACCACAAAGCCTTCTATGTGGTAACTAAAGAGGTCAAAACAAGCTTTTCTACATGAATATCCGGTCAGATTATGTATGACTTGCATCGGCTAATCCCCATACTGCTGGAACGCCTCATGGCGTCCCGGGCCGTCTACAGAGCTAGATACCTTGATGGCCAGCTGTCCCATCCTGCCAACCTCTACGGCCTATCCAACCACCCCTGATTTTCACGGCCCGTTGTGGGGTCTATGCTGATCTTGGGCTTGGGTGAAAGACGTGCAATGGGCATTTCTTGGGTGTTCCTGCGCTGACGTGCAGTGCGTTGGCGGGTATGCATGTTTATCTGGGATGCAACACTTCATTTGCAGCCATAGCACATGGAGACAATATGCCAGTGGGAATTTATGGAACCGCACTCCTTCGATTGCATTATTCCCGAAGCAGTTAAAGAATCCACGCGACTGGGTGGCATAGTCAGACTTAAAACCCTCGAGTCTTAGGCGTACTCGTACCTCGGGAGCTTTGCTGTCAGGGTCCACAATTCTGAACATCGGAGAGGATGGAAATACTACAACACGCAAGAGACAACGTTGAGAGTAGAAACAATTTGAATAGATTTAAGAGATCCAGTTCAATTGCTTAGGTTAATCAGTACTTACGGAGATGCCGCCCGGCTGAAGCCCCAAACCGACCTAAAGACCACTTCGAGTGTTGATAGTCTAGGTGGGATTAACATCGCATTACTTTGGCACAGGGCACGACAGTTATTGTTTCATAGTTGTAAGAGTAACTGTAGTAACTCAGTAACTATGAAGTGTTCATATTTGGAAAATGAATTATTCAACAAATCATCAAAGCATCCCATACATCTTATGACGCAAACTCCTTAAGGTAGAATGGCCGGTCAGTCGTAAGAATCACGGTGCCAGGCTAGTCGGTCAATCCTGGATCCCTAAAACAAAGAAAATAGCCATCAGTTTTCCCACCAACTTTTACGCGCCTTATATTATATATATGATAAACGTCTATCAAAACAACGTCCAGCGCATTAGATCGTCATCATCGGGTATGGAATCTATCGAAGCTCTTTCCTAGGCAAAGGTATCCATGGTTCCACTGGACAGGGGTTGGCAACTGCGCAGCCTATGAGGTTCGAACATGCAGCAGGGGTTCAGTTTTCAGCTCCGATTGCAGCCTGCCTGTCAAAACGCGCAGCTTCAATCCGTCCACGCTCACTGTCTCTTTTCTTGGCATCCCTTTTCTCAAGATATGCCCAAGTAGCTACCCTTCAGCCTTCCAGTTCTCATTACTCAACGAGGACAAGTCAATCCAATGCCAATCATTGACCATGTGGCTCATCAACACACGTACTCTCAAACTTGAGGAGTTCTTTGACGCTGCTATTCCCGACTACGCCATCCTATCGCATACTTGGGGAAGCGACGAAGTCTCCTTCCAAGAGTTCAAGAGCCTTGATGCCACGAGCGGAGACCCAGCAGATCTTATAATCAAAGACAGAGCTGGCTATCCAAAGATCATCAAGGCATGCGGGAAAGCCCTGGAATACCGTCTTCGATATGTGTGGGTCGATACTTGCTGTATCGACAAAACAAGTAGTGCGGAACTGTCGGAGTCGATCAACTCCATGTTCAAATGGTACGAAAATGCACAACTCTGCTTCGCATACCTATCCGATGTACCGGCAACCCAAGACGCGACTGATCCGGCATTCGTGAACTCTCGCTGGTTCACAAGAGGATGGACGTTACAGGAGTTGCTCGCGCCTCGAGAGTTGCTTTTCTTCGCGTCGGACTGGACTCTGATCGCAAGCCGTGAGGACACAGCGGCCTCCGTGAGCAATATTACAGGCATCGATCGGACGTACCTGGAATCCTCGATATCGGAGCAAAACACCCGCCTGAGATTATTGACAGAGGCCAGTATTGCAGAGAGAATGAGCTGGGCAGCTCGGCGGACGACTACCCGAGTTGAAGATATTGCATACTGCCTCCTAGGTATCTTTGGGGTCAATATGCCTCTCATGTACGGAGAGGGTCAGAAGGCCTTCTTCAGACTTCAGGAGCAGATCTTGCAGACGTGCTTCGACTTGACACTCCTCGCTTGGAACCCGACAGATGAGCACGGACGGCCTCTGGCCTTTGATGAGCTTGAACCGAGTTCTTCTTGGGCCTCCGCAGTGAAGATGGTTATGGGGATGGGGCATCCTTGGTCTGCTCCCGAGCAACCCCACTCCAACGCATTGCCGATGGGTCTGTTGGCTCCAAGCCCCGGGTGCTTCCTGCTTTGCAACGACATCGTCGAATGCGAAACCGTGCTCGACTGGACCCCAACCAGCCGTGGCCTCGAAATTGAACTGCCGGTGTCAGACAACACCTGGCCGTATGCCATCATTCCCTGTCGACTGCGTAACGACCCCTGGAGTCTCCTTGCGCTTCCTCTCGACGTTCACGATGGCGGAGCATACTCCAGAAGTCCACTGTCAGCCATGAGAATCAGCCATCATACCTGGCATCAATGGCCCATGAGAAGGATTCTCTTGAAGACAAGAATACGTCCTAACTATGACACTGAACCCGTACCCTCGTGGTACATCTGGATCAAACGCTTGCCTCCAGAAATGGAAATCCTCGAAAGATACTCAAATTCAAAGCATTATGCAGCGGATACACTGTTGCCCGTGTTTTCCGAACGCGAAACACAGACTATCTCTAGCTCGCGGTATGGAATCGCCGGGATGAAGCTCGAATCAAAGGCTTCAAACGAGAGGTTTTCTCTCATCATCAAAGTTACCAAGACGTCAGCCTATACAGATCTTGGCTCCTGGATCTGGCCCCGAAGGTGGCCCTGGAGGTCGAATAGTGACCTGTATCATTTGGAGTACTGCATTGCCAAACATATCTCGCCTGATAAACTGATATCTTCGTGGAAACGCACGGGCTCACTCAGGTTCACAAGGTGGTCTCTAGAGTTGAAAGATTCTTGTCTTCAATTCGAGATCATGAAGAGAAAGCTGCTTGATATTCCCGTCTTCGAAATCAACATCACACAATCCCCGGAAGGGTACATATCGCAACTACAATACTGCATGGGAAGATGCCTGTGGCTACTCCAGCTCATCACAAATCACACGTTGGCGATTTCGATGACCTTGGTGAGCCTCGTCTTCCCAGTATCGGTTATTAATGCTGTTCTTTGGTGCAAGCATCTGGTTCCCTGGCATCTATCGCTTTTACCAATCACCCTCCACATGACAATCTTGGCAGGGATTGCAGGGGCGCTTGGAGGAACGCTGGGCGTTGTTATGTCACAGTGCATATGCAATAGCCAATGCCAACTAGGAGGTTTCTTGAACAGCCTTCGCTTTCTGGCTGCCTTTTTGGTGCATCTATTTGCCTGGGATGCATTGATGGCAGTCTACGCTTTCCACTTGCTACCTGTCGTCTCGTGCTTCGCACCGAGATGGTCAGGATTTATCAGGAAGGGCAGGAGCGTGCTCGCCATCCTCATAGGTCTCTTCATGGGCCCCCTCATTCTCTGGTCCCCCTTAAACCCGCGCAGGGACTTCCCGCAAACCCTGGCACTGCTTCCCTTGTATGTCCAGACTGCCTTGAGCATATCGGATGACATGCTTTATCGGAGGAAGCTATTTCATCTTTACCCACTAGCTGTCGCGTGTTGCGGACTCTACATGGTCTTCGTTGACAGCATGAACTTCGCGATCGAGACGAACTGTAAGTCTCTGCTAGTTGACATGGGCATCTTTCTCGAAGCAACAGGCGCGGAAGGTTCGTTGAACGAGACAGGAGAGAAATTTGTTGGTCACTTGGCGGCATTTTTGGGCATATTTTTCCGAGTATACTTCCATGTGTGGCGACACTTGCTAGCGGAGAGTGTACTTGTTGTTGTCGACGCTTCTTCGCTTGTGTCAGCGGATGGGCTTTAGCCCATAAGCCGTAATTGTTCTTAGTAAGGGTTGACTACGCCTTTGTTTAAGCTGCAGAAAACATTGAAGTGGAGTTCTGTCTTCAGCTATCTAACATACTCAGCATCCAGCTACGTGGAAGCTCAACTTCAACAGTCAGACAAGACGCCAATCTTGACGAACCACTTGTTGAGTCGCTCATTTACTTCTTCGCTCTTCAGTTGGAAGAACCAGTGTCCTAAATGCTCTACGAGGCCAACTTCATCCAGTCCTGTGCTCGGGGACAAATGAGTACGTTCCGTGCTAAGCCAGAACTCGCTGTTCCCCAGCGTCAGGCGTGGGCATTGAATCTTCCCATCATGCTGTGCGACGGACACTTCCCGTCGACCAGTTCCTTGGGGGTCTCCCAAGCAGGCAGAACACTGTGCGAGGATAACTCCCATATCCCCCTGCGCGGCACGCCTGCCAATCCAGGTGTTATGCCAGGCGGGCACTGTTGGAGGATACAGAGCCGGGCCGAAGAGCATGGCCAAGTTTTGGAGTACCTTTGTAGGGTCGGCGAGGTATTCATCCGCAGTGGCAGCGGGGACGGAATGGAGCGGGTCGAGGATGACCATGGCGCGGGTGAGATCGGGACGCACCGACACGAGATGGTAAGCGACGGCAGTACCAAGAGAGTGAGCGATCAGAATAACGGACTTGATATTGAGATCCCGAAGAAGTGCAATGAAGTCTTGCGCAGCGGTTTGTGGGTAGTAGTCGATGATTGAAGGGTCCGCATCCGGCCCGGGATAGGCATTGATGTCCGGAGTCGGAGCCGGAGCGGAAGAACGGCCCTGGCCTCGAGGATCTGGAGTGATGACACGGAACCCGTGTTCTAGAAGAAATGGAACTTGCCAGTTCCAATCGTGGAGGTCACATGTAATTCCTGGGATGAGGAGAACTGATTGAGCCTCTTGAGGACCCTCATCCAAATAGAAGATGGAAATGTTGTCGTTACGCTTGAAGAATGGCATGTTAGATGCAAAGAAGTAATGATGGATCTGGCCTCATGAGCAATCGAGGAAGAAGTTGCTCATTACAGATCTTATACCAATTTCAACCCACATCCGAGTTAAATCTTTTCATTCAAAACGGTTTATATTCAAACCCAACGGCTATCACGAGGTTCGCCGGTCCCGAATGCTCCCGCTTGAAACACGGGTAGAGGTCACGCAAGTTTACTTCGGGTAAATTGGTCACACCGATGCTGACGGCCAAGATCTATCCGTAGCGGGGACGTATGGCGCTGGCATTCCGAAGGCCGCCGAATGTTTTCCATGTCCTGTAGATGTTTTGTACGAGTAATTGAAACCACGAAGAATTTGAGTCCAAATGCAAAAATCACAGAGCATCAGATGAGATCATATAGAGGCACAGGCGCAAACAAGTGGTAACAAGAGTAATATGTGTGATAAGAACTAGCTAAGTAGGCTACCTAGCTAGGAGGCTAGAAGAAGGCTCTAGGGGGCCCTAGGCTATATAAGCTACCTAAGGCACTTAAAGGCAGGTACTACTATACTACCCCTTTGTTACGGTCAGCTATCCGACAGTAGGGTCTGCTAACAGAAGCTGGGGATTGACACGTAGTAACAGTACACTGAGGTCGTGGTCTGGGTCGTAGGTCGTAGGCTTGTAGTAGATCAGGTCTTCAGAGGCTAAGGTGATC